CGTCGTAAACCAATGACTTCCTGTCCTTCAGTATCCTTTAACAACACCTCACTTATTCCTGTTGAACAAATCCGTTACCTAGGACTCCATCTGGACAAACGTCTAAATTGGAATCCTCATACGAGACTGAAACGACAAGAAACCGCTCGACGTTTCCGACTACTTCAACACTTACTAGACAAACGCTCTAACCTTCCAATCAATTATAAAAGACTGATTTACATGACTATAATAAGGCCTATTTGGACTTACGGGGTTGAGCTATGGGGCTCCACCAAGCCTTCAAATTCCTCTCGCATACAGTCCTTGCAATCCAAAATCCTTCGTAAAATCCTCAATGCTTCTTACTTTGTTACAAATAAAATTATCCATAATGACCTTAATGTTCCTTATGTATCAGATTTGGCCCAATCCAGATATCTGTCCTTCCATAATAAACTTCATAACCATCCCAACCCTCTTGTCTCTAACCTTGCTTCCTATTCGATTCCTGATAACCCTCCGAGGCGTCTGAAAAGAAGATGGCCACGTGATCTTCTAATATAGACATATTATTAGAGTTCTACCAATGGGTAGTTTCTCAACATGTGTTTCATGTCTTTATACCAATGTGCGAATTTACCAGATGTATTTTTTGTATACAGTTGTAAATATCATTTAAAATAAATAAATAAATAAAAGATTCATGATTCCGAGATAGAAAAAAAAACATAATATTTTTTTTTTATTTATAAACATTTTTTAATAAAAAAATTCTGGATATAGTTGAAATAAAAAATATACTCAAATATATAATATTTTGGTTGTCGTACCATAACAAAATTATATAGGAGAGCCTCTCTTAACATTTACAATATTCCAATTTCTCAGGTATTACACGTTTACCATCGATTTTTTTTTATATGGGTAAACACTTATAGCGTCGACACATGGTATAATTCTTTCGAAATTCAATAATAGTACGAAAAATACTGTCCCAGGTAAAAATGTAACTACAATAAGAAAGATTAAAATCTATGTTTTCATTTAAAAAATTGTCCTTATTAAACAAATATGTCGGTAAGTATGATTCGCTTCCGATCGTTCCCGGCACTGTTGACCTAGATGTTTAGCGTCTACATTATCAAACCAACTTGCGATACTTCTCAAATCTCGAAAAATTTAAATGACGTTTTGTTATTTTATAAATATATTTATTTATTTTTAGTCCGCGGTACTGATCTCTTTTTATCAAATTATTAACATCCGCCTGAAATTTAGCAAATAGCGTCATCTCATCGTAACTTATAAAAATTTTATTTACGAAAATTCTCGGAATTGGGGCGTTTTCAATCTGGAGATTGGCAAACTTTGTCTATGTAATTAGGTACTAAGAACTCGTAAATACCCATTTTCTTTCCGCTTGAATCGTAAGATAATTTGAGCACAAAATCGAGAAAAAAACTTGCTTTCAAAAATATTGAGTCATTTGACGTGACCTGCACACCCAAATTGTCAAAATAACGAGGTTATATAATGATACTAATATTAATAATACTTTATTTATTGTGGGACGAGTCCCTTCAGAATAATACAGGACAGAAATGTGGGCTTAGGAGCCTCAGATAAACAAAAAAAAATGCTAATGAAATAGTCATATTAAAAATTTGTAAACTTAAATAAGTTAATAATAAAAAATTGAAAATAAAGTAAAAATAATATTGGACAAACAGTACAATATTTTTGTAGGCCACCTTTTCTATCGATTTTTTGATCAAATAATCTTACGATCCAAGAGGAAAGCAAATTAGTATTTACCAATTTGCAGTACCTAACTAAATAGATGAAGTTTGCCGATCTCCACATTGAAAACACCCCAATTCCTAAAATTTTCTTCAATATAATATTTGTAGGTTAGAAGCTATTTACGCATTTTCAGCAGGGTGTTAATAATTTGATAAAAAGAGGTCTGCACCACGGCTCCATCGATATACTTTTTTTAACAGAAACCTGATCAATTCTATAGACATATTTTCTTTATTGCCTAAAAAGATCTCAAAACTAACAAAAAAAACTTAAACATAAATACGTTAATAGAACTATTAACACTGTATTTTTCGTTTCAATGGAATAATTTAAGATTTAGGATATTTTTCTATCAGTGGAAAAGTTAAGAGATAGTATAGTAAAAATCAATTACAACCATTCAGGCCTTCGTTAAAAAAAAAAAATTGACAATTAATTAGTCCTGAGCCCTACAAATTGCAGACACCATATCAGATAGCAAAAAATTGGACAGAAAAGCATGTTAGTGGAAGAATGTCTTACCCTTGCTTGGAATAAGGTCACACATCCTTTCACCCTGAGTGGAAGATAATATTTTACAGATTTAGGTTGATAAACATTTTTATCCTTGACTTGCTCAACCATCGTAATGGTTAATTCATCCTGAGTCGATACAATTCCCAAATATTGCTTTTAGGAAAGTTCTGGCAATGTTTCTGCCATTGATTACTGGGATAAGAAAAATGTCTCCAATAAATATACTGATTATCAATTTAAAATGGTGACCTAATTTGAAACGGAGGAATTTGAATCTCTTCAGATTAACAGAAAAAAAATCTTTCTTTTTTCCTGCTAGCTTTAGAGACCGCTCAGATTTTTAGCCGCCTAAATTTTTTTGATGGCCCCAAAAAGGCATTTAATGTACAACATATTTCTTGACGCTTCTTTGTTAGTGATAATATGAGTCATAACGAGGTATTTATAGTCCGCAATACCAGGCCTCTTTTTTTATCAACTTATTATCATCTGTTTAAAACTTCGTGAATGGCAAGATCTCATCTTCTACAACTTTTTTATTTACGAAAATCCTCATTAGTTAATCAAATAATTAATTTAATGAGAAAATTTCCGATTTTTTTTTTGGAAATTGAGAGATTAAATTAAATTGAAAAAGTTTACTAATCTCCAGATTGAGGACGGGCAAATCCGAGAATTTCCGAAAATAAAAAAATAACGATAAGATTAAGTCATTCCCAAAGTTTTAGAAGGCTGTTGATGAAATAATATTCTATTTTTCTCAGATATCGGCGTCGGCCAAAAATTTCATTAGTCCTGAGTAGTTTCATATTGTTTGTTTGTTGTTTATAGGCGTAAGATCCACAAATTAAAAGCATCCAAATAAAATTTTTTTTTTTAAAGTTTTTTTAAAGTTACCAGATGCCATTCTTATAAGTAACCAAAAATAGTAATTACATTTAACAAATAATTAAACTTTTGTAATCGTCACTATTATCTCTTAAAAAATGAGTTATATGTGATTTCGGATGAGACAACTTCTTACAATTTCCTTTCCAGTAGAAAAAGAACAATTTCTCGTTTATGGTATATCTAGTAGAAAATCACATTGGATGAACCATTTGAAAAAGATTTTTTTCTTTATTAAAAAAGACATGAAAATTTGATTTTTGAACTATCTATTTATGTAATATCAATACTATGGATTGGATAAAATGCAGAATAAAATTAGGTTAGCGGCAAAAATAAAATATATTTATTTAAAAGCTTCCAGATTTCCAAGAATCTGATAAAAACTTGAATTTACTCTATATAAATATAATTAAATCACCCTCTTCTACTTAATACCGCATAATTAGCCACATATGGGAAGAAATTAAATTATTTGAGTAGAGTGGTATGTGAAAGTTGTTTGATACGCACGCAGCACCAGATTTGCTTTCACTTACCTATATATGAAGTATACAGTAAAGGAAAGTATTGCGATCGTCAAAATTTTCGAATCTCAGTTTCCAACCGCTTTGAGGTTTCCTGATTCCAAATAACCAAGTCCCGCAAAACGATCTGTCTGTCTGTCTGTGTATGTAGTGTGTGTGTGTTAACAGTATAGCTCAAAAACAAAAAGTTGTACGAAAGTGAAATTGCATATTTAAGATTTTTATATGCTGTGGATGTTACAGCAACTTTTTCGTAAACGTCGAATAACCGGAAGTGGCACTTCATATTATGGACTAAACACATTTTTACGATTTTCTCGAAAAAGGCTCTAACGATTTTGCTTAAATTTATCATATAAGTGTAAAATTAAGCAGTTTTGATTCTGATTGATGTTTTCCAACAGGGCTTAAATGGCAAATTTTGAATATTGGCATTCCCTAAAATACCTTTAATTTTTTTTTATTTGAATAAATTGACCATTTCATATTGATTTCTAATATAAAATATAGTTAAATATGAAGTATGAAAGAATTAGATAATTAACTAAAGAAGAAATAAGTGATCGTGAAGGAGAATAGTTGTAATTGAGGAACCAATACGAGAGCACCGAGCTCGCCCGAAAGATTAGAACAGTCTTTCATACGCAACATGAGCTTAATATAATAATATTTATGTAAATATTATGTAAATATTATGTAAATATGCATATGTGGTTTTGATAAATGCTATCGTTGGTATTATTTAGTATTTAATTGCATAGATTACAGCGCTATAAATATTAAAATTTGTATACATAATGGTACTTACACGTAATACCCACAATCAAATATAAATAAATATAGCGTCTACAATTTTTACTACAAAATTAAAAATGAAGAAAAATTATATGTATGCAGAGCGTACGGGATAATGTAAGTATAGGAAAATATTTATTTAGGAAAATGGGTATCACGTAATACCCACAATCAAATATAAATAAATATAGCGTCTATAATTTTTACTTTCACTTCCCTTTTGTCTGAAAATACAAGTGAGTGAAAGTTGTGTGATGCGCGCGCCGGTTTGTTAGTACACATGTTACTTATTCCATAATCCATATATCCATATATAAAATATTTATATTATATTTTACTCAATATTAATACTTTTATACAATATTCATATTATATTTAGTTTCAGTTTTAACAATAAATGCACTACCAGCACTTGACACAGTTTCTTTCCAGCTGCCTTCTGCGATGTCAAAAAATGAAAAACCAGGCTGTCTCCTAAGTCTGCATATTTCAACAGTTCTGTGAAGTCTTTTGAGTAGCTCTAGTACGGGGGCTTATACTACCTTCACTTCTTGCATTGAAAATTGTGCCCAGAAAATATTGTTTGCCTGAAATAATAAATTATTTATTAGCGAAGACGGTGTGTTTTTTAACCCGGTACTAAGCCGAATAGTTTGTATGGAAGTTTATATTTTATATTCGATCCTTTCCTAGTCCTATATGATGTTTTATTGAATTAATTTTAATTGTTTATCACGTATTTAATTATTACGAAAGTTGTTATATTATCTAAAATGATTACTTTTTCACGTCTTGTTCTATCCTGATTAATTAATTATTTCCACGATGTGAAGTGAATTAGCTCAAGGAGCAATGGGTTCGTATAGAAGATTCTTTCATTCTGACCTTAAAAAAATAGAAACACTAAAAAAAAAATCTATTAGTGAGGACACTAATTGACCGTATAACTCCATCAATATATGATTTATCTCATAACAAACTTGTAAAATTATTTTATTTAATAATAAACATAAACTGAAGAAATATTATAAGTATGCAGAGCCTACAGGATGATGTTGCATATGTATACATATTATCATTATACTTAGTATAGGAAAATATTTAAAGAAGTAGCAGACCTCGAAAGGTACAAACAATTTATATCAACAATGGTACGATTTTCTGCAGAAAGTAGGAAATTTACTTTTGTTTTTTCAAGTATTTTTTTTTAAAATAGGAAGGTGAAAAAATATATTTAATTTAAGAAACTAACAATTACGTCAAACTAAACTAAAAAAAAAATAACTTGAGATGAAAACGAACTTTTTCATTGTTTAAACCATTTAAATAGTACTTTTTAGTGAATAAACTAAGTTTTCTGTTTTTAGAAAAAAAAAATGAATTATAAGTGATAATTATACTACAAAAATCTCTCGTTTAGAAAAACTGTATTTTCCCATAACCTTTAAGTTCATATTAATTTACTTGGGGTTTATAACGAAATAATATGACATTCACCTCTTAGTATTCTGACACCAAAAGTGCATTTCTTCCTAAATGGCGGAGAAAATAGTTTCATACCCAATACACATAGGATATATAACTATTTAGAGACAATAATCCATTGTGTAATAATTTTCCCTGTTCTGTCTGCTATTGTGCCACTGAAAACTGTTCAGATTCTTCGATTCACCTCAGAAACTAAAGTAGTAAAGGTATTAGTAAAGATATCACGTAAAATTATCGTAGTGAAGATATCGCGATTTTTAAATATTTTTGGTTTATTATTTTCAATAATGAACCATTGTAATCGTCCAAAACATTCAAAAGCTTAACCCTACCCCATCAAAATTTGAAGTTTTAAGTTGCAAGATACGTAGAACTCGAAATATTTTTGTCCGTCCGCCGTCCGCGCATTTTCTTCGAGACTACTGAACCGATTATTTTTCAAATTTGGAATTAAAGTCAGAGATCACTCGTCGATGATCCTCCTACATCGACATTACTATCCGCCATTTTTTCCAATACTGCAGTCGAAAAAAAAATATGTTGGTATAGACTGCAGCGTCTAAACGAATGTACCGATATCAATGAAAATTGGCTAAAGACTGCTACTCAATGCCCTTTCGATTTATCTATAGCATACTTATACCAAAATAAGCTGGAAAAAGCTGCGGAGGATGGTAAAATTAGATTTCCGAAAAACTCTAAAAGTATACACGGTTTTATTATGGTTGTTTAAAATTAACGAATTTTGATTTTTTTTAAATTGGACAATTTGGTGCAAAGATATAGTGTTATAGATATTTTTCATATTTTCTACTGCAAAGGTTATATCCTTTGTTTTGGTTTTTGATTTTTGAAAGTGTTACTGAAGCAATGCTATTTTTCTCAGCAAATTACTGACCACCTTTTATTTATGTTACTTTAGATGTATAATTGTTTGGAAATAATAAACTATTGTGTAACAATTTTCAGCGTTTTTTTTTAAATCTATATGAAGACCATATAAAATGTACTTGTGTTACTTTTTATTGTATTATTTAAGTATGATTGCGATCACAATTGAAGTTAACATTAAAATGACAAGAACTTCTTTGTATTTTGTGAAGCCATACTAATGGGTCAATTTTTTATACTATGTTATTATTCCGGGAATTAAATTATTTTTTTTCATTCATAAATATAACATTCTAACCCTCAAATCTTCAAGAATTCTCTGTTTTCCAAATTCTTCTTCAAGACCATCAGATCTCTTATTTTCCTACTCCTAAACTACTTTCAAATAAATGGTAATTAATTTATAATACTGTTTAATTCATATTTCTTAATAAAATCAATAATTCCAAGGAAATAACGTATTGAAACCTTTCACCTCCTCTCAATCCTTTAATTCATTTTATTTATTACAACAACGTTTCAGGCCAACTTTAACGATTTTCAAGTCGAACTTTTTATCTAAAATATTACAATACATTAAATAACTATGAAAAATATGTAACATCACATACAACAACAATCTATAAAATCCTCAAAAAATCTACTTAATGAATAGAATTTCAACTTATATCCTTATCTTATTCTCACCTTCTTCAAATAATTATTTCATAACTTTTTATGAAAAGTCCATTCTACAATTTAAAAATACTGCAAATTTAACATTACACCTTAAATAAGAATTTTGTTTTAACGTTTGTTAGCATGGACACGTCTTATCAATTAATCTCTAGAGAAATACGCAGTAAGTTGAGATTAGATCTATCATTGCACGAAATGTCATACAAGGTCGACGTAATAAAATCTCCATATGAGCCAAGCTCTTTGGGTGCTTAAGTAAGTTTCTTGAATTTTAATTGTCATCGAGCTCGCGAAGTTGCATGACTGTGTACTTCATAATATACCTGTAATAATTTAATAGCGGAAGAAGTTATTTCAACACAGCTTGCAAGTAAAAGGTTAACGCCGCAAAAGTGGTATACGAATTAAGTTTGTATTAAAAAATGTTTGTGTTCTTGTTTTAACTTGAGCCCTATTTATAATGATTACTGATGGGTGCGAAGAATAAATAGGTTTATGCTTCGTTCATTATTCACAATTGGTTTCCTAAGGCCTTTTATAGTTTCATTAAATAATCTTGAAGAAACCTTCCTTTTCCGCATTATTTTTGAACTGCTTACTTCTCACAAAAGAAATACAGATGTTTGTTTAGGAAGGAGGTGTTATAGAAATATTCTAAAAGATTTGCGTGTAATAAATCCGTCGTACGGATAACCACGGTTTTGTCAATACAAGGTAAAAACATTAGTTGGAAAAACGAGAATCTAAGCTCTATCGAGAATCTCTAAGCTAAGTCTCGAATTTTTAAATTACTAGAATCCTTTTATATTTATCCTACAATTTCTTTTTAGAGAAGTGCTACATGTGATTTAAGTAAATAGATTTGTGTAATCAGGTTCTGTTCCAATTTTAATTAAAATACTTCCCAATAAGAAGCACTTTTTTTTTTATCTTATTTATTGAAAAATATTACAATCTGTCTCTAGGACATTTATAATAGAGTTCACAGATCACATTCACACTCTATGTACAATAAATAAAATAAATTATACAGAAAAATAATATATATACAATAAATAAGAGTAAAATAACCTAAAAATAAATAAATAAAAAGAACAGATACACACCTATATACAATAAAAAGCACTATTTAAATTTTAATATTAAGCTCATTTTTCACTTATCCTTTAAGAGATCTTTCTATTTCTTACGACAGAATACAACATAAATGGAATTTAGTTTTTGTCTGTATATTTTATTTATTTATTTATATTCCATGCAATTTACACCTCCGCTGACTAGAAAAATTTGTTGAATTTATGTATATTTTTTTGTGTACTTGCTTGATTTTGTTTTTATCGATATAGTAGGTCTCTTTGCAATTTCCTTTTTAATCTGCATTGTTCAGGTAACAGGGAGCAGGTGATAGAAAGAACCAGAGGATCGTGTGGTTTTTAATTGAAGAATTAAATTTAGTGTATTTGTCGTCGATGTAGAATTTTACTGTTGGGGTTTTCAAGTCCTTCTGTTTAGTGTTATTTTAAACGTAAATAAATAAATAAAAACTCCAGTTCCTACTAGACTGAGATTCCTCTGGTATTAGCTTATTGTAAGATATTTCCAACGGTAGAACCCTGATTTCCTTTAAATCATACATATTTTTTTTAATTCTTCCGCTAAATCTACATATTTTATCTTTTTTCAGCATTACAGGTTATCGTTCGATGGAATTCCTATCTCTATAATTAAATCTCTTTTCTACACTCTATCAATTATTAAAATGTCTAGTCTGTGATGGAGGATATTAAGATCTGTAAGAATAGGTTGGACCCAAAACAGTTTGTCATTATACTTATGATTGCCTCCCGATGATATTTGTAATTTTGACAATAGCGTTATTATTACTATTCAGTACAACTTTCAATATATATTGTAATATATGAAATAAATATTTATAATTCATAATATACTTATGCTATAAAATAAGTAATTAAATTTTTATTCTGTTCATTATTCCTAATTTTGGTCTCTTGAGGTTTTCATTTATATAAATTAAGGCATCTCAATTAAGGCAAAGGAGATTTATCATAATTATCATTCTTGACAACGCAAAGGCCTTTTTCAAGTCCTCCAACTAAATATTGATATACACTATAATTTTCCTTATTCTGAAAAAGATTAAATTGGCCTAATATTTTAAAGTTTTCCCTTCGTCATCTATGATAATAATCTAATAAGCTTATAAAATAAATTGTATTTGCTGGTAAAAATATACAAGGGGAAAAAAGAAAAAACGCTATTCCATAGACAAAATAAAATACCAGCTATATATAGCAAAAATCTTACACATAATGTTTTCACCATCAAACACATACATATTTTCAGTTCCATTGTTTTAATCTATAGCCATCAACCATTACGTTTTATACTATTATAAATCATATTAACAACATTTAAATCGAATTTCTCGAGTGTAACAATCGGTCTCGGAGCGGTTTTCAAATTGAGCGCCAACAGTTACAATCCCATCACATACTTATTAAGGTCATGTTATTTCAGTTCTTTTTTTTTTCTTTTTTTCACGGTCAAATGATATAACTGAGACCTTTCACGGCCTTACATAACCCGGACTGCTCTCGACCACATACTCCCGCTGGTCCAATTAATTCAATTGGCCACTTTCAAGAGGAGTTGCTTCACCACCCTTTGGATAAATTAACCCTCAGTGCTCGTTGCACTGTTTCCATCGAGGAAATAACCGGTTCGATGTGTCCAAAACAGTCAGGTTGAACGATCAGAAGGTAAATTTGTTACTTAGGAATGCTTCGATAATCGAAGAAACAGTTGGGACTGTGTATTGGTTCAACTTTTGTTTTCATGAGGTACCTTTATTTACAGAAGTTCAGGGTATCTTACAATCTCGAGTTAAATCACAAAAAACAGCATATCCACTTATCGAACGCATCATAATCAATAATTAAAGATGGTACTATTAAGAAGAACAAGACAACCAGTTAAAGAATAATACATTTATAATCAGTTAATAGGTTATTGTTCATTTAAATAATAAATTCATTAAAATTTTACAAGTCCTAAATTGGTAATCAGATTTCTTGATGGTACAAACGCTCAAAAGTGTAGCATATTCTGGTCAAAATAAAAGTATCTTGATGATACACAGTATATGCCGTACCATTTCCACCTTAAAACGCCTAAATTACTCTCGTCACCTATTTCCTCTTGAAACCCGTAGGCTCCTAGTCACTTCCTTAATTTTTCCTCACTTTGTCTATTGCTGTACGGTATATGGGGCGTCTCTGGGGATCTCGAGGCAAAAATAAAACGTTCGATGAATTGCTTTGTACGATTCATCTTCGGGAACCCAAGAGATAGCTTTGTTTCCCGTTTTTATGCTGAGATAAAGTGGCTTTATCCTTCCTACCGTCTTAAGTATTTCCTGGCATCCTTCCTCGTACAAGTCGTAAAACCCCACCGCCCTTCATAAATCTCCGAGCTCCTTCAATTCAAATCCTCCGTTCGTTTCCGCAATACTCGTTCCCGGTCTTCTGATTTTTACATAAGGGCCCATCGAACAGCTGCTTTCGACAGATCGTTCATTATCCCATCCTCATCAATATGGGACTCTATCCCTTCCTACATCCGTCGATCCCATAACCTTCCTACCTGTAAATCCCGCCTGTTCAATAATTTCTTAACTGTTTAGTTACTCTGTATTCTTTTTATGTATCTCTGAGGCTCCTTAGCTCACATTTCTGTCTTTCTTTATTATTCCCAGAATAATAAAGTATTATTATTATTATAATCCCACAATGACCTTAATGGGGACTAATTCTTTCTATCTATTGTATCAATAATTGATCATCTACATCAAAACTCTTGCTTTAAAGTGTTCAGAATTTGAACTCGAATCAAGCGTGTAATAAATTCTCAAACCTTCATCTCCGATCAAATGTAAAAGTTGAGCAAACTGTTTTTTCCAAATATTTTGTTCAACTCATTGGCTATAATATAATTTTCGAATTTCTTTAGAACTTATTATACAAGTTCTGTATGGTAAATTTCCAACTGGCCACTAGGTTTCTAGACATATTAAGGTTTTAAATGAATTTTCCGCCATATTTATCTGTTATTTTTAGCTTTAATCTTTTACTTCATCTTTTATTCAAACTATAGTTGACCGAAGAATGGTTATAATTTACCGACTGCGCCACTTAATATTTTTAATAGACAATGACAAATTTTATTCGATAAAAACCCTACAATGATTTTAGTGGAGGTTATCGTCTTCATCGACATAATCAAATATAGAGTTACAAAAAATAATTAGAGACCGCACTATTTGCTTATCCAAATGTAAATAAGTAGTAATTAAATTAATTAAGTTAAAGTAATAAAAAAAAAAATACTCCCCTTATTAAGGAACCGATCTCTTTGACTCACAATAGACCCTTGTGGTCGCGGTGCATTATGGCAACAAGAAGAAAAAATAATAAAAATAAATGAAAAATCCAGTCATGATCAATGGAAAACAAGTTTCATTGTCCCTTAGAATTAAAATAATAACATCAACTGATAATAATATATACTGATTATCTAAATTTACATAATATTTCCTTGTAGGTACTGCACAAAATTCTAGTAATTAAATTTCGGAATTAAAAATATGAAAGAAATTAAGACAGGCCTTATTTTATCATTTCTGAGTTAAACCCAAATATAAATACATATATTATCAAATGTCTTTTGAACTTACATCTAAATCTTATAAAAACTTAAACGTACTTGATGGCGACTTCAACACAGAGGGCGGTCGCGGTCACGGTAAGGCCCGAAAAGGAAAACGCCTTAGATACATACAATAATATTGCACGGCTACTCAATTGTATTGATTGAATTGCTAAACCACACAGCATACTCATCAGTCAACACATATTATTTTAAAATCAAAACAAAAAAGAGCTTGTTTGAACCATGACAAAATATAGAAAACATGTTTAAAACAGTTTACGGAATCAAATAAGCGAAGGCCAAGACCAATATATGTGGTAATGGAGGACTCCCAATGAGTCTAAAATAATAGTTCTTGTCATAGCTTGCATCTGCTCCCTTCCAACACCGAGCCCCTCCAAGCAATTACTTGTAGTAAGAGGGATGGTTCCCCTACTTCCGAACCACAGCACTTCAACTGAAAATCTTCTCTCGTCGTATTCATCTCCATATTTTTGTTTTAAGTAGTAAGAATTTCCTCTTTCTATGTCTGTACCTTGAACCTTGATCTTTGTCATCCACTATTAGTGCCTCGTTTTCTGTAGCATTAAACATTAAAATTTCAAGGAATCTTGTTGAGCCTTCTTTATCTAGGCAATAAAGTTCGAGGAAGTTGTTCATTTCTAGGACTACGGATAGTTGATTTCTCTGATTGATTGATTGTTTCAAAATTATATTTTATATAAATGCCAAACCTATCATCGATGCAGATAATCATGGCATACCATTCATATAATCATTTGACGATCGGTTCCGACAAATAGAGCGGCAGCACAACATTCCACTGAGGGACACTGACTCGAGAGGAACTAGCCAGCAGATGTGACAGCCGCTGAAGGCAGAGCCGAGGCTATTACGACATAGGCGTGGCCTCAATCAGCCGCTGGAGGAAAAGAGTGCCACTTTCCCGGCTGATCTTGGGCAAGGTCACCCTTCACTGAAGCGGGCGGGTCTGCTGGAGTCCTCCAGTCAGGGGCTCCAGTCGATAACACAGAACACGCATTCACTAATAAAACGTTTCTTAAACTTACTCCATTAAATATAATCTTTAATAAATAATTAATTTTTATAATACATAATTAATATCACTGACGACTAATATTTCTAACCTATGAAGTACATCAATTGTCTTGTAAACTGTAAATTGGGATCTTCCAAGCTTTCTAAACACCATGAAGAAGTTATTAAATTCACAGTTTTTATCTATACTTCCAAGATTTAAAATTACAGTATACTAAATTACTCTAAATTTTCATTACTGTGAGATACCAACTTCTTCACGGTGTTAAGAAATCTTGGCAGATGATCTCAATTTACAAAACTCGTAAGGAACATTTTTCGACTTAAATCGTTATGGTCAGAGACCATAGGTATTTTAATGTACTTTGGCAAAGTATTTAATTCTAAATATTGACGATGTCGATATTATATAATTTGGTTGAAGTAAAATTCTGCAGTTTTTTCTAATTCAATGTTTTGATTAAATAAAAAGTTTATGATGAGGGAATATTTGGTCCGTGGTGGTGGCAAAATTAGTGTGAACTATTTTATTGAACTCACATTGGAACGTGTAGGAGAAAACTAGCGACATTTACCAAAATTCGAAATTTCTTGAAATGTGTACATACATGTCATGAAGTATATCATATTACTACTTCTGGGCATCTGTCTTCTGGGAGCATGAGGAAGTATCAGGTATATATGAGTAATTCAGTCACTACAGTCACTCCTTTTATCATGGATTTTTTTTTAATGTTTTTATTCCTGCTATTGTTTCTGAAAATAAAATAAGAGCGTGAAAATTCTACTCAATTGATAAAAATGAGTGAAGTTTTATAAATCTGAGAGATTATTCTTGAACTATCTAGCTGTAAGGATCCAAATCTGTTAGATGTTTGGATTTCTTCCGAAGGACGTTTGTGTTTTCTTGGATCGCTGGTAACGGGAATTGATGTGACCAGTAATTAGCTCCCAGTAGCCATTGAGGTTATCACTGATATCTGTATTAGAATCCGTCTCACTTACCTCAGGTTGAGCCGGCTCGCCTTTCTGTGGCATTGAAGATTTCTCTACTTCCTTTTCCACTAATTGCTCTAATACTTAGCGGTCTTAAATAAACACGTTTTTCACGATCAAATAACAATTTATAAACACTAAATTAGTTATTGTTTTTAAATAAAACAAAACAGATTAAACTTTTACATGTGAAAACAACAGCTGTTGGAGAATAAAAGTTATTCGCAAATATAATTTAGCCAAGTCAGTGCCGTATATTGATGTGAGATTATCTAACATATTCTTAGATGTTTTCTTAAAATATTCTCATAAACTGTCGAAAATATAAATTTTAATCTTTTTCCATCGTTCCATCTAAAAATATTACATTGGGAATTCCTTACCTCAACGTTCTCCTAACCTCGAAGTGTAACTTTGTATTTTCCGCCTAGACTCATAATTAGCAGGTAAGTCTCATAATCTGTTATTTAACCGATAAAAACACTATTTCTTGGGGAATGACCAGACAACAAGATTTTTTTTATTTTCAGAACAAAAATTAAATTCATATACATATGATTAACGATTCACTGCCACTGCCATCCAATTATATCTCATTAACAACACAATGAGATATTTAAAAGTACATATGCATCTAATCTATAAATAAGAAAGGATTGTAATGCATAATAAAAATTATAGGAACTAAATCTGCATCACTTTATATGTATTTTTGAGAAAAACTCTTGGTTTTTCTCTAGTAAAATAACCAAAATGGAGTTGAAGGATAAGTGCATACGTAATGATGTGATTTCACAGAGATAAAATTCTTCAAATCCTTTATTGATTTTCTATTATGTAATCGATCTAATTATTAAAATATATTATGTTATCAAAAGTTATTAAAAGAAATATTTAAACTATTTGTAAGGTTGCTATGTAAATTAATTTAATGTTATAAACATATGTTTTACTAATCCGAAACACTACGTAAAATATTTTTATATTCTGTTTCTTCTCTCACATACATACAATATAATAGTTCATTAAACAATTTCACTGCAGCTTTTTATTATTTTATATTATTTTTTTTCCTCGAGCTTTTTTTCTGATTTTATTTGATGATGAATGATATTTTATGATTTTTATTTTTTTATGGTTTCAATAGAAATTCGGTTTAGTTTCTATGGAAATATTTATTTTCCTTTCAATATTATAAAAGAAAACATTGCCAATATTTTGTTTTCACTGTTCAGTAACTTTTTAACTTTATATATTAGATACTATTTTTCCATATTATTTTAGATATTCTGACTCATCTCGTTTTCAACATAAAGAAAAAAAAGTTTTTCTTTTTTCTCCTTTAGCCAACGACTAAATTCTTTCATATTTAATATCTACCCATTTTGTATTACAACTAATAATGAAAAACCTTCAATCATTTCAAATAAATTATATTAACGGTATCGTATTAGGGAAAAAATTAAAATTCTGCATTTAAGACTTTTCAGTGTGACTATTAATTTTTCATCGATATAACGAGTATAATCAAAATAGTTTTGGTTATTTGAACTCAGGAGACCTCAAAACCGTTGAAAAAATCAGATTCGAAATTTTCACGATCACAATACATTCTGCTAAAACATATTTGATATATAAGTAAGTGAAAAATATATTAAGCATGATCAGACCTTTCTCGTTATATGTAGCAAAGTTGAGGTTGGACTTCCACATATGATCCGAACAGTACAACCATAATTATTTATTAACCATATAGTAGAGAGAGAAAATTAGTTTTCCGCTAGTGAAATAGTTTTTAAGAATATTTAATAATTTATTTTTCATTTGTATTTATTGAAGTATCTATTTATATCTTCATGTATTGCTCATTTTTTTTATTCTATGTCATATATATTTTATTCTATGTCAATGTATTTTAAAGAGCGAACCCATGAATAACCTTCAAATAACTATTGCTCGTGTAGAAATGTTTGTGTTGTGTAGTGAAGAGTTTAAGTGCTTAAGTTTAATTTGCAAAACGACTCTGACATCAGCTTTCCTTAATGTGTGAAGATAATAATTTATAATTTGAGGAATCACAACTCGAAAAGATACGAACTGATTTCTTACAGTTGTGTTAAAACTCTAAAACATTGCCTGCAGTTGAAACATCACTCCACTAAAACAAATTTTGGACCAAAAGTACTGAAGAAATTCTAGTTTAATTTACTTAAAATGCTTAAAATTTTTAAAAACACACTAAACAACAAATATACGACTATTTCACTCTGAACCTATTATTCGCATCTCAAAAGATATTTACTAAACTGAAATCGAAAATATGTTCTTAATTTAAATTTATTTTCATCGGAAACATCTCAACTTTCGAATAATCTTTATTACATAACAGCATAAAATATTGCCAAGTCATTATAATAAATTAAATACACATATGACGATGTAATAAATCCGCTCTTGCTTCATATGTAACATTTTTTTTTTCATTAAGTTCAGGCCGATTACTTTCTTCTCAATATAAGATTATATTAATCAAGAAATTTTTAACTTTAGAAGAACGAGTAAAGATATTGCATGGTTTTCAAAGTCCACCAAAGTAAGTAAAGATCAGATAAAGTTTATTTCCTTAAGCCGGAAGTATTTTCAGGATAGAATAATTTATATGAATTTATTGAAAACATAAAATTTATCGTTCGTCATAAATTTTATTAAGGGCTAACCTTGAAAGTTATATTGACTTTTTTATTAACAATACAATAAAATTATTGTAAAGGTTAGTTGGTGCCTGACCCTAAGGTCCCATACTTATTCTTATTTCAAGAATAACATCGGACGAATCTTCAAGAAAAATATTTTCTCTTTATAAAATATCTTAAAATATTATTATAAAATATATCTTTATAAAATATTTTACTGTGAATAGATACTTTTACTACCTATACGTTTAATCAGTAATTTTTCATAGAAAAAAAAAACAAGTGAATTTATTGAAAATAGTAATCTGTCCGACCAACGCTAAGGGGGATATTAAGTACATGGGGGTAGCTTCATCAGTCCTACGCCCGGTCGGTGGTAGTTGCCTCCAATAGGCTAACAGGCCTCACATTTTTATTACCCGGGGGAAGGGTCTCGGGCATTGTAACTGCTTTTCCTGGTGGACGGCCACCCAAATCGAGCGGTCACTCATCCAAGTGCTAACCACGCTCGGCGTTGCTTAATTTGGTTATCTATTGCAAGCGCCTTAGTCCGCATGGCTACCCCTGTATATATATCTATATATATACAGGGGTAGCCATGATATATATATATATATATATATCATTATTTTCAGTGTTCAGCCCACTCCTGGTATTTAGCTTGTTCCTCCTAACTCACCCTGTATAATAAGATAATCTCTGTTTTAGTTATGTATTCTTAAAGTAACGGCGCTGGAAAATAAAGTAATATTAATGTTACTGACTTTAGTTGGCTTGAAGTAATATAATTTTATTTTTTAATAGTTGGAACCCCAGCCTTAGCTAATTTTGCTAATTAATATTTTCAGAATGCGTCCCACAGAGAGTATTTGTTTGCATGATGTCCTTCATCGGTTTGACTATTATGTATATGATGCGATTTTCCTTATCTCTGACGTTGACTTTCATAGCACTTCCCAAGAGGTCAAAAAAGTCTGTAGAAGGCAGTTGTGTAAAACCATCTACCAAGAACGAGGTAAATTCCTCGCTTAAAAAATGTATTTTAAATACTTACAGAACATTAATATTTACTAAGAAAAAATCAGTATCTCATCAGCAAGCGTACGTGGATACAGAAGTGAGATTACCTTTTTCAACGATAATTTTCTTGGTGATACAAGGTCGCAAATATTATACCAATGACCGAGGGTTCTTGCCAATGCACCCTAGGATCCGAGAAAAAAAAAATATCTAACATAATTTTAACATTTTTATTATGTTATTCCTTTGTGCCTTAGCTTTGTATGTTAAACCTGGGTCATAATATACCAATTTTTTTTTTTTTTTTGTGTAAAGAAAAACAATATTTTTTATTATATTAAGTGAACACCAATATAGAATAAATTACAAAAAAAAAAAAATATTATCCATTCAGTAATGTAGACCACGTAAACTTTTACCTTGAAAAAATCAATTAAGACTAGTTTCAAGTGTCCAAAAATATAAGGAATTGAGAAATATCAAGAAATCAGAAATATAGATTTTTTTTAAAAATAATAATAATAAATTCAATTTTACCAAAACCGTTAGAATCCTTAATTACTGCCCTCCCAAGCTGTACCAATGCCTTTTACATTTTACATTTTTATAAGGAAAAACTCCTCAAACGTTTTTATTTTATCTTTAGTTCTAATTTGTTTATGGGGATCTGGTTTGTGCCATTTCGTGTATTTTAATAGAGCTCTAACTCTCAGCAATTTTTGTGATTTTCGAAAAAAAAAAAAGCAAAAACTTTGAACACAAGCAAATTCTTATTTAATTTTTTTCGATGCATGAAATCCAAATACCAACTTTGTTTCTCAAAAAAAAATTAATAAATATAATATTGTCAAGATATTTTATTCAACGCACACATATGCTTCATACTTCACCACGGCTGTTAAATTAACAATATACCTAATAAGTAATTAGCTTGTCCCATTGGAAAATATCCCTCTAGTTTAATAGTTAAGAAATAAGAAACAGCTACTCCTCAACTTACACTAATCAATTAGAGTATTCGCTCAAGAAAAATTTCATTGGTGCCTTGGTTTCATTGGTTTGTTCTCTCACTAAGAGTATAGAAGTCTATTACTGATGCTACCAGAACGTTTTGTTATTTATTAAATATATCAAAAACTTTCTTTCCACATTGTCCAAAGTTCGCCGAGCTACTCTCCTCGATCTAGCAAAGGTAGAAAATACTTATAAAAATTTAAAAAAAATCTTTTTGTTGTTGGCCTTCGGAGCGAATTGGCAAGAGCTCTCGGACACAAGTCAAATATTTTTCTACCTAGTATTACAAAAGAATGGTTCCTTGAAATGGTACCCTATTTGCATTGCCCTTTAAATAAAAACCTTTGTAAGTAAAAAATGACGATAACAAGAAAATAACGGTCAAATAAATTATTGTAACGCTTCGATAATGCTATGAACCGCATCTGAGATAAGTTTGCCAGTAGGAAAAGGGAGCTCACGCAGCCTTCTCCCATTCAAGTTCCAACTTCCCGAAACCCCACCGTGAATTTATATACGTTCATGATTACGTTTATGGTCTGAGATTAGATAGTTTTCTCTCTACCCAGTTTATTTGGCATAGTAAACACAAATTGGTAAAAGAAATTAAAAAAAAAAAAAATGATGAAAGAAATTTTTACATATAAAACAAATTGTAGAATTATGAGTAGAGAAGAAAAGTGGGGGATTAGCAGAAAATGGTTTTGCCAGTGCGCTTCCCTCTCTTCCTCTACCCACCGGCAAACTTATCTTAGACGAACTCTCACAAGCTTAATATACACTTTTTTAAGGGTTGTGAACCTTTCGAAAAGAAATATTTTTGCATTACGTTGATTTGAGTGCTATACCACTTACCATTTATTAATGCGTAACGTTTTCCAGACCAGTGAACACAGGGAGGTGCTATTCGAATGGGACGAAGGAATGCAGGGGCAGCTGCTGGGTGCCTTCTTCTACGGCTACGTCCTGACCCAGCTGCCGGCCGGGATCATATCCGACCTGTTCGGCCCCCGCAGGGTGGTCTTCTGGTCCGGCTTCCTCACCAGTTTAGTCACCATTATTGTCGGCCCAGTCACCAACCTCTTGGACTGGACGGGCCTCTTCATCATTCGCATCCTCACAGGGCTATTTCAGGTTTTTAGTTTGCATCAATCATAAAAAAAAAACTTTTGATTTCTTTTAATCATCTACTTCGCTGCGATATTGACTTAAAAAAAAAAAAAAAGTAGAATATAAACAAATATTTCATATAAACTTTTGTGAATATTTTTAACCATATATTTTACAGGGTGCATTTTATGCTTCACTTCATGCAGTCGTTGCAATATGGGTCCCAAAAAATGAGAGAGGCCGACTTGGAACTTTTGTTTTCGTTGGTATGTAAGAAACATATTATGTATTATAATTTCTAATTGTAATTGTTTGTGTGTATTGTAATCTCCCTGTATCTCGGTCTAACTGTCCAATCTCATATTTTTATCTCTCATTAACAAACTCTATTTGCCCCTTTTAAAGAAGAAAACGGAGTGGCCTTAACTAGAAAGGGTCGAGAATAACAGATAAGCTATCTATATCATTCAAATCTCGAGCAGGATGGACTCGTGAACTCACAAACTTGTAAGGGAAATTGTAGGAAGATATAAGACCAGACCGCCCAGAATGTTAAAAAGACAACCTTTATAACTTTCTAGTCACATCCTTCGGGTTTGGTGCCATTTTCTCATAATTTATCATATGTCTATTTTAGGCCAAAGGTCACAAAAAAAAAACAGTTTTTTTATCTCCTGTATGCTTTATTCAACGTTTCGGCTTCAGGAGCCATTTTCAAGAACCTGCAAAACATGCACCGCGCCATAAAATTTATCATTGCGATATGAAATAATTTCCTGATACCGTCTACAAATAGAGAAACGGAAAACGACGTTCTTTGAAATAAAAGAATGAATTAAGGACGAATCATATCGCAATGATAAATTTTAAAAATTTTATAGCGCGGTGCATGTTTTGCAGGTTCTTGAAAATGGCTCCTGAAGCCGAAACGTTGTATAAAGCATACAGGAGATAAAAAAAATGTTTGTTTTTTTGGCCTAAAATATACATATGATAAACCTTTATAACATTCGAGGATCAGCTAGCTGAAGACACCATCACCAGACCTTGCAAGGAGAGGTAACTTTACACCTGTGGGGACCACCCTCAGAAGGTTAAAACGTGTACAGAACAAGCAATCACCAAGAAAGGAATTAGGATAGGATAGGTCGAAAGCTCAAAAATTGGGTGACAACTCGGGAACTCAAACCAGGATGAGGGCAATGACAATTTTCTATCAGGGATGGATTGACCCGAGTGAGAGTATAGTATTAGAAAAAAGTACTCAACGATCTGGTTTACATGTGTCGGGCATACACTCGAAGAGGCTTTGTTGCCTTCTCCAAGCAACTCCTAATCGTCTAAAACGATTAGTTCTTTAAACAGTATTTTTAATTACTATATATAAAGGCCTTGCTAAAACATATTACAGTATACAGAAGTTATAGCTTATAGTTGCTTCAATAAACCTCTTGGCATCAGCAGCTATAGCGCATTCGCTTAGTCTCCACTGGCTTCTAAAATGAGAGGAGTGGTTTGCCTGGCTTGATTTGGTATTCCTTAGGCTAAGACAAAATATTTGAAAATTAGTATGGCTGATTCTTTTTCATTTACATTTATTTCACTATTAGTCTATATAATTTTTTTTCAAGTTTAATGCGACCACTTCATTTTTTTTCTGATTTGTTTTACTCACGATCCATAAATTCATATTTTGCCTTCATATTTTATTTTGAGCTGGCTGCTGAGTGTGAAATGCATTGCGCTTCTATCTTGAGTAGATAAAAGTCTATTACCTAAACTATTTGATATGAAATAAATAATTATTCAGACCATTTTGGAGATTAATCACCATAATATTTAACTTTTTTTTTTTCTTTTTTATCCAACAGGTGCTCATGTGGGAAACTTTGGTTCAGTTACTGTTACAGGATTTGTTCTGAACGCTTTAGGACAAAAGAGATGGGAATGGTTATTTTATTTTTACGGTGGTTTCGGATTGTTTTGGTCATTACTGTTTTTCTTTATGACCTACGACAATTATACTTTGTGTCCTGAAGGCCTATTGAAAGAAAAGGAAAAAACGAAAATGGATGATTACTTTAACTCAATACAGAAGAAAGAGGTAACATTGTAAACATTGGTTCACTATAATAACCATAAACAAAAACAATATTGCAGAAAAAAATCTTTTCCAATCACAGAAAGTAAGCTTTCTTGACATGCCTTGGAAAGAATTCGCTACGAATCTGCCCGTCTACGCCTTAGCTGTCGGATTGTGGGGACACTGCTGGGGTTTATTTGTCATGATTAACAACATTCCAAAATTCATGGCTTCTGTACTGGGTTTTGATGTAAAAAGTGTGAGTATTGATATTTATTTATTATTCCGTTTTAATATTTATTAAATACAAAGAAAAAAAATATTATTTAAAAATCGCAAAAATATCATCCCTGAACTGTTGAATATAACATATAACATATTATTCAGAGGAGTCTACAGACGACCAAATTTGTCGTCACTTTGTTATAAACGGAGCGGGATATCTCAGTGAGTAGGACACAGACTTTCAAAGCTCAAGGTCCCTGGTTCGAATGAGGCATATGCCAGGTAGTTATTTATTCTGTTTCATCAGCCGTGGATCGATACTGGGGGTCGGGAGACTCTCATGGGGCACACCCAGCCTCTTTAAAGTGGGTACTCTTATTTAATTAAGGAGGAAAAGAAACCGTGACCTCGATCAAATCACCTCTGGTACCTACAAATCAGTTGTAGTGGTACAGGTTTTTTTTTATATATATATATTAACAAAAAGTATTTCGAACTTTAAAATTGCAAAACTCAGTTAGTAAATATCAATGATAGCCAATTGATTAAAGTTAGTTTAATATTTTTTTATTTAACTAGATACTTACGGACAAAGGTATATTCTTTTCCAGATCCATAATCTTTTCTTTGTCTATCCAACCCTCCGCCCTCTCTTACCAGGACTCCTACTAATCTAATCTTACCGCAAAGCACGTCGAAGATCAGTCGGATTTTATTTTAGTTTAGGGAACAGAGGATGCGATTCTTCTAAATCAGCAATGATAATTCAACATAAAATAACCTACTGATTGGATAACAATGTCTTTATCATCGGACAACAGATGTCCGACAAATATCATATAGTGTAAAGTCTATCCTGGAATTGTCCGTCGTTACTGTTACCTAGTAACAATGATGGGTATTAGTATTTAATGGCGATGGGTCAATACAAAAAAAAAAAAGAATCTCAATCAGCAAATTAAAAATATAATAAACGTTTCGACACCATATGGCCGAATCAAATTTGACAGATGGCAATTTCAAAGTTGTAACCAAGATTTGTTTAAACGCCACAGATTTGTTTTTCTGATATTAACATAAATTTGAGTTATTCTAAAAACGAAAAGAAATAGATGTAAACTAATAAATGAATTACATTTGTTTGGAATCTTTATAACTTTTTAAATATACTTAATGTAGTATTACAATGAAGAAAGATGTCCATGTTGACTTCTAATAAAATTTTAAGAATGTAATCAAATTATTAACTCTTTTGAAGTTAATAATTCTGTCCTTACGATTCCTACAAATGTTGACCGAAACCTCAGCTGGTTAAATAGAAAAACAAAAAAAAATTGCTTATATATGATATAAGTGTATATACATTCATTTGCCTATAAATTAAATACGCAACAAGAGAATGTATTGGGATTGTGATGTATCAATATATATCAATAGTATAATACATCATTAGAAACCTAAATAATTTAGGAAGATTAATATCTAACATATGAAGTCGTAATGGAGGACGTAAACACTAATGGACTAATAATTGTTGTAACTTCTACATTAGTTGATTATATTGTATTTCAGTAAATATTTTTTAAAGAATAAACAAAGTTGACATTCGGTTTATATCAACTGATGCATCTATATCTATATATCTATATGCATGTTATATATCTACTATAAGCCATAAATTCATGTAGAGCAAAAGCAACACTTACGTCATGTTGGCAAGAACTTCTCGGACATAGGTCAAATATTTTTCGCCCTGGGATCACCGAAAAAACTTTCATTGGAATCGGTGACCCCACGTCCGTAACCTGCCCTACAAAAAGATCAAGAAGAAAACAAAAGATCAAGAAGAACTAAAGAACTACAGTGGTCAGTTCGTGAGTAGATCGCTCATTTCTAGTAACAGCTATTCTCCGTGCTCAATCATGGCTTCTCCATTCTGGGGTACGTTATGTCCTATACGGCTTATTACCATACTCATATTTAGAAATTATATAAAGTGTAATTTAAAAAATGTTTACATTAAAGTACATTAGTAAAATTATCCATTTATATAAATGGAAGGATACGGGAAGAGCCAGTTTTAATTTTACATTTTTCAGAACGGTATGTATCTTGGAGGAGCTTACCTACTTATGACAGTAATAGCTTTCTCATCTGGCATCATCTCAGACTGGATTGAAAAGAGAAAAAAATTGTCTCTTACATGGAACAGAGTACTTTTTACAACAATTGGTAAGAATCTTCCACTATACACAATTATTTAGGCAGTCCGCAAACGAGTCAATGCGAGCAATAAAGACGATTCTTGATTCCCTTGTTTGAAGCGAAGATTAGCCAATTTATTCCCTCATTCCCTCTTAAATAAGCTTCTAAATGAGGTGGAAAACTAAGAAAAAAAAAAAAAAAAAAGAATTACCTCCCCATTGAAATAAAAAAAATCTTGAACATATTAAAGTATTTTCATACAAGAAAATACTGACAGTAGTAATGAAATTGAGTAGTTGAGTACTGATTCGGATTAACGGAAAATGCACCATCTTTTTTAAGACAGGATGGTATCGGATCGTTAGTTTACTTTTGGAAGGAGGATTATCGGGGTAGCCGTAGATTGGGGAGAAATATTACCTTGATCATCAATTAATTCATAACTGAAACTATGGATGTCAATAAATAAACAATGTATATAAATCCCTCTATCGTAGCCATAAAGAACGTAATTAATTAGTTTCACAGAAGCTTCTACAAACATCGATTTCTCAATATTGTAATCTCGTTTTTTTTTTCTCCTTTATTATTTTCTCATATTTTCTTTAATACTTCATTCCCTATAATTAATACTCATAAGTATGTTTTAAAGAGAGCTTTTTTTCTCAGTGGTTATTTAGAAAGATGATATTTTCTCTTTTTCCTCTTCTATACATCCAACACTTCTAAGACAAATTCCAACTCAAGGAATTTTTAAATTTATATTTTGCCAAATAAAAATATTAATAGTTTATTTTCAAAGAAAAAGAAAGAAGAAAATTAACAAAAATTCGTTTTGTCTTTTGATTAAAATAATTAATGAGCAGTTAAAAAATTTCACACCTGACTGTGAATGAATTCCTACTAATAATAATTCCTATTAATTTCTTGCAGTCAATTATATCTTTACTATTATAAAATAACAATTGATTTATAAAGATATATTTTTATTTTATCCTCTAAATATTTTTTGTTGCCGTGTTAATTTTAGAAAGGGTACAAGCCAAAACTTCGTAGAAGTAGAGGGGGGGGAGGGTAAATATTTATCAACTTTTTGTACGAATTTCAATAATTTAATCATAGATTAAATTGCATTTTTGAAATATTGGAGCAATGCTTGTGTTAAGATATGTTTTTCCTTTCTAAAATAAACGATTCAATTATTATTGTCAATCAATAATTATTAATATCTGATTATAAGTAGTGATCTTAACATTCTATAAACAATGATAAACATGTTTCACGATAATATACTTGTGTACTTGCAGGAATAATATTTATAAATAGATTTTTATTTATTAAAGTTATTAAGACCCACAAAAAGAGCAGTATTTGGGTTTTTTGTTTTTTTCAGCATCAGTTTTGCCAAGCATTGGTCTTCTTGGTGTCAGTTATTGTGAATGTAATGGAACTTGTGCCTTCGTATCTTTAATCGTCGGAATGGGAGCTATGGGGACTTTCTATCCTTCCCTCAAGGTAGAAAAAATATATTTATTCACTTCACGAGTCAATCGCTGAAGTATAAGAATTTATTTTTAAAAAGTTAATGTAAGGATCATAACGTATAATTTCTACATATTGAGTCATAAATTAAGCAAATATTGAACATTACTAATCACAGCTGGACTTAAAGCTAGTCATAACATAGTAACCAATTACTTTATGCTTTATACACAATGCTCCAACGTGTTTACTTTTCTTGGATCTATTATTATTACACATTCCCCTAACGTTTAATAAACAAACCAAACTTTTAAAAATAATCCCTTCCGCAGCTATATAATTATACTGAATCAATTGTATTATAAATTAATCTTACGGCATATTTATATAAATTAATTCGTGCCAAAGAAACCATGAGCGACTGCAATTTATGAATCAGAAATGAATGAAAACTAATTGGTGATAACCCTGATATATTTGTTCTCTTGATTATTCATACAACAATATATTAAAATAACACCTAAAAATAACTAACCAGGAAGAAAATAGTCTTATAATTCAACGTAAAAAAAATCTCAATTTTTTGTTCTTATAAAACTGCACTTAATTAATATGGAATTAAAGCTAACTAAACGAGAATGTTTTTCTAAAAGTGAGGTATCTGTATTATAGTTGAATTATGATAAATAAAAAAATAATTTATGATTATTTTAAAAACAGAACTTAACTTAGTTTTTTTTTTTTTTTTGTAGCTCTCAAGGTCTGCTATCACTCCTGAAAATTTCCCTCTTATTACGGATCATCCTGTATAAATTTGTATATACTAATATTATATACCTTTGAAATAATAATAAATAAAACACTATTTGTTTTAGGCTCAAAATAGAAACAATTTAATACAGTTTCATTGAACATCTATTAAATACACAAGCGTCTACATACACACCGACACAATTTCATGATTATTAAGTTTCGTTGCCTCCATTGATCTGAACATCGATTAATGCATCGATTAACGTATTCATTACATGTAAGTTAAAAAACTAATATATATCGGTAACTCTTTGTTGTTTATTTCAACAGTTAATCGTCGAATTTTCTTAATTATTCATTTAAATATTGAAAACTTTGATTATATTTATTTTGGCAAACGAAAAAAAAAATTAACAAACAAATTAAAAACCAATGAGGGAGAGAAGAATAGTTGGGGTGATCAGTCAAATAAGAAGGCAAAAATAAAATATACTATTTATTTTGACATTAGCCGACGTTTCGACCTGAAGTTCAGGCCATCATCAGGGCTAAGAAAAGAACCAGATAACAAGATATGAGAAACATAAGTAGTGCAGGTAAAAAATTAAACTAAAATTAAGTTGTTAGAATAATGACAATAGTTTAATTTTTTTACCTACACTACTTATGTTTCTCATACCTTGTTATCTGGTTCTTTTCTTGGCCCTAATGATGGCCTGAACTTCAGGTCGAAACGTCGGCTAATGTCAAAATAAATAGTATCATTTATTTTTGCCTTCTTATTTGACTGATCACCCCAACTATTCTTCTCTCCATTGTTTATGACGGTCAACTATTTAACCACTATTAAAAACCAATAAGGTATTATCTCCCTCATATACCGCAATTTCATAGTGTTTGGAGAATTTTTTACTGAATTGAAAATTTCGTCATTTTTATTCTAACCCTATTTTTATCTAACTCTAGATTTGAGAGGAGGGGAACCTGTAAAGGCTTATTTTTATAGAGTTTTTCAATTCCTTGAATTTTGTAAAGAATAGTGTTTTCAATGAAACTCGCAGTTTTGTTATAAAAAAAAAATAGGAAACTAACTTTTCTGTATCTGTTCTCCTTCCCTTTCTCCATCAAAGCCCGGCGCTGGAAGCTGTAAGATTTTTTGCTAGTTATTACAGGAAGTATAATAAACAATCAATGACAAAGTCCAGCCTTTTTTTTTTATGTTTGGGTTAATACCTAATTTTAGTATATTAATAAGCAAAAGTCAACAGATCTCAAGATAATTTACAAATCTTTAATCAGGTGAATGGAATTGATCTTTCAACCAACTACGGAGGCACCGTTGGTTCGACTAGCCATTGGCTAGGCACTACAGCTGGTGCCCTAGGACCTCCGTTGATTGCTGCTTTGGCTCCCGATGTATGTATTGCTATATCACTTACAATAACCTGTAATAATATGTTGTTAATATAAGCCAAATATGTTTCCTAAAATCTTTAGACTAAAAACCAAAACCAAACCTATACGACGTTTTTAGGTAAATTATTTGTCAGAAGTAGGTATTCCAAACTACTACGGACTAATCAGGGATAAGTAAATTTTAAGGAGGTTAGCTATCATTTGAGACTAACTGAGTAGACTAAGTATTACCTGATAAGAGAGATCGTCGTCATAGTATGCCCTGGTTTATCCGGTGGAGCTTACTGATACCATACTGATTTTTCGAGAGAATCGACTAGTACAACAGGAAGAAGTCAATAGTACTGAGGTGGAGCCTCCAGATTACGAAGATTTTCTGAATGTAATAACTGTTCTGAAGAATAACAGAAGCATTGGACAGTATAATATATGTACAGAGATGGTGAGGAATTTCGGAGGGCTTTGCTAAAAGAGATCTATAATTTAATGATGGAAGCCTGTATTATAAAACATCAGATGTGCCCATCCTCTCCAACGTCGATGGCACATGAATTCCCTCTTCCCTTTCCTTCTCCCGATTTATTTTATTGTTCTCCTTTTCTTAAAAACATTCTGATCTAAAGTAGAGTTTTAAAAATCATAGCTCAAATACAATAAAGCTTTCAGTGGTCTATTCTATGCTGGTTCTTGTCTCATGGTTTCAAAATTTTCATAACAAAAATTTATAACTCTGTCGAAATGTGCCTCCCCTCCTGCTCGAAAATTCAAACCCCGTCAAAATGTGCCACCCTCATAAATTTTTATGGCGGAACTTGCGCCATGAAACCCTCTTCTGGCCACTTCTGCAGAACATATACCTTAAGGATGGATTACTGCGATCATAGCCCTGTTTTTAAATATGGCGAGGAAACAAACTGCGACAATTATAAAGGCATATAATTTTTAAATACGCAGTAAATAGTTTCTCCATTCTATAAAATAAAAAGTTCATTTTTAATCCGAGAAGATTTTAGGTAAATACTAATGAGGTTTTAACAACTATAGATCATATTTTCTCCATAAGACAAATATTGGAAAAAACCCGAGTACCAAATAGACTTACATCTATAAATGGCTTTTATAGAGTATTTAAAATACAAAACAAAATACAGTTATAAACAATGTATTTTATATTTGACTTATTAAAATGTATAAATCACAAAAATATTAGTTTAAAATATAAGTATAATATAGATATAAGTAAACAACAAAAGTTTAAATGAATTACGCAACAACTATTGACCAACACATACGTGATCTCTAATCTCGATTTCATCTTAAACTACACGGACATCACAACGGACTTATTAACGACATGGCCACAGCTGACAATCCCATCAGGAGACGACTGAAGAGGAGCTGGATGAGAGATCTCCTTCTCTGAATTAAGGAAGTAAATCAAGACCAGGAAGAGGTGTTGCTTGGTACTGTTTTTCCTCATGCCTAAAATGCCAATTTTCTTAAAAGTCACAGCACATATACTTATTATCAAGCTTGTGACAGGTGACGTTAAGAATATAAGAGAAAAAAATATTCATTCACTTCATACCGCCTCAGATCTACTCATAATGATTTCGGCTAACTGTTGTAAGAGCAGCTTATCCTGTTAGCTGTAGGAGTTGGTCACATCCAAGACAAAGCAATTGGGGTGTCATGCTCCCTCCTTATAATTCACACCTCTCTGCCACTATTGCGCCAGAAAGTGAAGAAAAATGAACTAAGTCCCTTACAGAAGGGGATTATCGTGCATAAAAGGTATTTTGGCCTTCTCATTACCGAAGGTAGCGAGGTTCGGCCCAAAGTGTGGGAAGTTAAAAAATTGTTCCCCAAATGGTAAATATTCACTCCCCTTTCAGATATAACAAATTGATTTGGTTCAGTGTTAAATTCATTTAGCGGGCGTATCACATACTACCACTAATCCAATTTTGAACCTAATTTCGTCAAGTTCCAGTCTCTACTTTTGCTTACGTGCTCGTAAATTTATTTTCCTTGACACCCCTGTATTTTAAAAACAGCTTGATCGATTGGATTGAAAATTTCAGATATGTCGAGTATTATTAAAAAAACAAAATGTGCAGATCTTTAGGTTATTATATACCAATCGATTTCTCTTTTTATTGCAGAACAAATATTGAATAAAAATCCACTCCCACATTGTTACAGCAGTTCAAATTTTTCCCATAGTGTAACCATCTGCCAAAAATAATATTTTTCTTAAACCACTTGGTAGCTAAAGTGAAGATTTCTTTAGTTTATTAAACAATTTGGTTGAAAATATTTCAAGGTATGACAACTATATAGCAAATAATCAGCGTCAATAACCCAGAATCATTTTGAAATATATTTTAATTTGTTCATAGCTACAAAAAATAGAATTTCGTTTACCATTTCCTACCTGATAAATTGTTGAAATAATGTATTTCTTTCTAAAATTATTAGATTAATTTGTATTAAATTTAAGCCATTAGAATTAAAATATCTTAAAACTAAAAAACAAAATCGTATTTATTCATGTGTTACTTTTTCAGTCTACAATAGCTCAATACAGAGTTGTCATGTGGTTGTCCTTTGTACTTATGACAGTTACCAACATCTTCTACCTACTGTTTGCAAGTGCTAATGTTCAAAAGTTCAATAATTATCAACCGAAGCCACGAGCTTGAAGATCTCCACGAAATAGCATAATGAATTTTATAAATATATGTATATACCTACATATATGTATTAATTGACTTTACTTATCTTAGCATAAATAATTACTGTCTTGAAATATTAACTTTTAAGTTCTAGTAGATACAAGCTACTTTATGTAACTTCGTTAAGTAATCCTCAGTTTGAAGCGATACGTTTAGTATGAATACCAGGCAGTATTGGCCTTAAAGTGAGGCAATTGCTTCGGGGCCCCGCAATGTGGGACGAGTAAGGAAAAACTTGCAGCATCGGCTAAATCTTTTTTTTTTAAAATCAACTATTCAATAAAAACAGTAAAAAAACGTATAAAAATGCCAACTGAAAATATTCTCGGAAAGTCTACGAACAACACACGGTATCAATAAAACAGTTTATCTAGTTTTTGGAGTTCTAAAAAAAATTCTGGTTCGCGCAACACACAACTTTCACTTACCGTTCAACTTTGAATATAAATTATTTTCTGGCCATTTTGGGCTATTATGAAAATGTTCAATTGAATTTTTAACCAGCTAAAGCTAAAATCTTACACCTAACAAATTGTAAATACAATTAAAATAACAAAAGTCTTATTTATTATATCACCGGTTGATTATTGATTGTACGATCCGTTGATTATACATTATACCGTGGATTTTAAATACTTTTTCAAACTAAAAAAAAAAAAAAAATGTTAATTGTTCACATTTAGTAAGAAAATTTCATTTAATTTCATTGAAAACAAGTTATTCACGTTAAATAATATTAGTTTTTTTTTTACACTTTCCGTAACCTTCTACAAGTTTATTTATTGATATATTTTTTTCTAAAATTCTCCGCTATCCAACTATTTATTATACGTAAACCTTCTGATTTGTATTTCCGGAGATTCATTTTCGACCAGGATAAGTTTTTTTATTTATTTTTTCTCCTTTATTCAATAATCAAAGTTTTTCAAAAGTTATATTTAGTATTTTTTCGTAACTCTTAATAATGTGAGATAGTTAATTATTTAAGATAAACCATACTAAAGGTACTTTAGAGGAAGACGTATATGAACATTAGGCATTTAAGCCTTGTAAAGTGACATCAGTGGGTATAAGACCTAATTGATGATAAAGACCACTTAATTATACAATGATACATCGAGTTTAATCAAAATCGTTAGAGCTGTTTTTGAGAAAATTGTAAAATATGTTTCACGGTCGATATAAAGTGACACTTCTGGTTAGTCAATTTTAAGGGAAAATCGCACATCTAAGGCATATACCTATCTTTTTGTTTTTGAGTTAGACTGTTAACATACACACACACAGATCATTTTACGAGACATGGTTATTTGGATTCAGGGTACCACAAAACGTGCATTTCCGTAGAAAACTCAGATTAAAAAATTTTCACGATTGCAATACTTTCGCTTACTATATATTACATATATAGAGTAAGTAAAAGCAAAAATAAATAAATAAAATTCATTTAAAGCTCATTCACACCTATATACAATATTCATATTTGCCCAAGAGACACCGAACCAGGCTTTGGAAGCTTGCTGTATTGATTGCCACGTATGGAAGGCAATCCTTAGCCCCAGGAGGTTCCTTCTCTTCCAGCCGTGTCACTGGACTGGAGACCAGTGGAGACAGGGAGAGAACACTTGAGCCACAAACATGCCAGACATTGAGTGGAGAAGCTGGCCATAGCCCGGACTCCATTAACATATTTACAAAAGGTCTCGTACCATTGCCTATTTATCTCGTACCGATCTATTTATCTTTTCACCCCTCTGAGATGTTAGTTGCGTTCGGCAATATTCAGGCAGACCTAGGATCAGTGGCTGGGCAAGTTAGAATAAGTAAAGGCTAAACGCGATGAAAACTCAGGCTCTTTTAAATCCAACACTTTCCTTCTCCCTTACATCACATTCAACTCTTCCGTTAAACACCTAGGAATCACAATTGACGAAAACCGCGCCTGAAAACCCCATGTCGCCCTCATCTCCCAAAGGTCAATAGGTTAACTCTTAACTTATTTTATCGCTTCCGTCACCTACTCCCACAACCTATCCGCAAGCTCCTTCTACTCTTTCTTATTTTGTCCCAATTGAACTACGGCTGTGTGGTGTACGGTGGCATCCCGATGGTACTCGAGGACAGATGGAAGCGACTTAAGATTTGCCTTCGGTACTTCGAGGCGGTCTCATATGTCCCACATTTAAGAAGAGTGTCCCTTAGCTTCTTTCCGGCGACAATATTTCCTTGGATCTTGGCTATTCCCAACGATCAATTCCCGGCACCCTTTCTACATCTACAGTCCCCTACAGTTCAAACCAGTAGTCCACTCCCAGAAAACAAAATCTTCTGACCTTTATACCCCTTCCCATAGAACTAAAACATTCGAACATTACTTTATTGCCAGACCCACTGCCTTCTGGAATTCCTCACCATCTGATATTTGTTTCAAATGCCATCTTTATCAATTCCTTCCCAGATCCAAAAAATGACACTGATCATGATATAAATTTTATGAATCGAATTTTGATTGAAGTAAACTGGAAAACCTTTGGGTTTTTATTTTTCCTGATTTGTTTTGTTTCATATTCATATTAATTATTTGTTTTTTGTTCAAAATGTTTTTACTTTCTGCTGTTTATATATTATCACTAAAGATATTGTATATATATATTGTTTAATTTTTATTAATGCAGTTTTGGGATGGGCACTCATGAACATCTTAAGGTATCCTCTAGCTTGTTGGTAAATGAGGATATATTATGTATACATAGAGTATGTTATATACAAAACACATTCTAAAATAAAAAGTAATTGTTCACAAGATATTGGATGTACTGTTGGAAAACATATTGATTTTCAAAATATGTAAGAAATCATTAAAATCCTGAACGAATAAAAAACTGCAGACAATCTCTAATCGTTAACATTTTTTTTTTAGTTGCATCAGAGATTGATAAAGGTAATGAAAAAATAAAGTGTATTAAGATTAAGAAAGGTTACAACTAATAAAACAATTACACGAATTATTAATATCTAAATATGCTTAAGTTTTGCCAAAGGTTTCGGGATCTCAACAACCACATCACTTTTCTCTAACTAAAGTGTCAATTATAATTACAATAAAAATAAAAATAATTATGTAGAAATATTTGATAATAATAATTTAAACAACTTAAACAAAACAAATAGCTCAATGAAGTTTTATGATAATTTAATATTAAAGTACTGTGAAATTGGGAAATAAACATTTCCTTCCAGAAATTTGTCAGGGCAGGAGGCTTGCAATAAATGAAGTTAGATAACACTAATAAGTGGAACGCATTTAATTTATTATTTGTTAACACAGCTGACCAATTTTCATAGCTGTTTGGAGATATCAAAGGATGGGACAACAAAAAACAAAATCTGGTGCACCCATCACACGACTTTCCCTTATCACCCTCTTCTTAACAGAAATAAGTATTTTCTTACCAAGGAGAAGTAAAAGTGAAAATTATAGACACTATGTTTACATTCCATTGTGGTTATTTTTATTTGTTTAAATACCCTTATATATACAATATTTAATTTTTATATTGCTGTAATCTATACAATTAAATATTAAATAATACCAATGATAGCATTTATTAAAACCTCATATGTGTATGTACATAATATTGTCGGAGAAGCATTATATTAAGCTCATGTAACATATGAAAGCCTGTCTTAATCTTTTGGGCGCCCTCGTATTCCTTTGGTTTCTCCGTTATGATCTCTTATTCCTCCTTTAGTTAATTATGAAATTCTTTCATATTTTATAATTAACTATTTTTTATATCAAAGATTAATGTAAAATGGTTAATTATTCCAAATAAAAAAAATTAAAGGTACTTTAGAGTACCCTAATATTGAAAATTAGCCATTTCAGCCGTTATAGAAAATCAATGAGAATAAAACCTACATTATATTAAAAACTGCTTAGTAATACACTGATATACAGAGTTTAATAAAAATTGTTAGAGCTGTTTTCGAGAAAATCGTAGAAATGTATTACATCGAATATATAAAATGCCACTTCCGGTTAGCTGATTTTGACGAAAAAGTTGCATAACAACTCAGATATATACAAATCTTAAATATGTAATTTCACTTTCATAAGACTTTTCGTTTTTTGAGCTAGACTGGTCACATACACATACACAAACACAGACCATTTTGCAAGACTTGGTTATTTGGACTCATGAGACCTCAAAACATGTATTTCCGTTGAAAACTCAGATTCAAACATTTTCATGATCGCAATCCTGTCCCTTACAATATATTTCATGTATAGGTAAGTGAAAGTGAAATTACAGTTTTGTTTTCATTTATGGATGTATTTTTTTAACTAACAGAAAAACTCTAGTAAACTTTGTTATGAGCATAAAATATAATCAAAAAAATGATAGGTGGATCATAAAACAACTTAGCACTAAACTAAACATTGAATATAATTCAAAATATAGTTGTCAGGTATTAAAGATACTTTATTTTACATCAGAAAACCAAAAAATTAATATTTCATAAACATTTGTTGCTTGACATGTATTTTAATTTTTGGTACAAATATATTTAGGTAGAGTTCTTGTGGCCACTAAATAAATTTTATAAAATACAAAACCTATTGTTAATATTCAAAATGTGAACACAGAACTTTCTTTTATGTGTATATATATATCAGCTAAAATTGACAATGTACAATGTTAAGAGGAAAAATATTGACTGACATGAGAACATGTATAAATAAAATTAGAATTTAATGTAAAAGTAAATTCTATATACAATTTTTACATGTTACTTCAATATTTGTTTTAAGGAATCTGTCATAACAGACTGATTATGAAAAGGCAAGTTGTTTTATTTCATATTATGTACACTTCTGTTCATTATTATCTTGACAAATAGAAGACACTAAGTTATCCCAACAATCTTTATAAAAAGGAAGTGAGTACCATCAAAAATTACTTCAAATATAAAATACAACTCAAAAAGAAATAATTAAACATTCTTTCCCACTCTGTTCTTACAAAAAAAGGAGCTAAGTGTCTTCCACTTTCAATGACAGCCTCACCATAACCAATTCTTAATTATGTACATTTGCTGACTATTTCTATTCATGTCATGATTGAGCTGGTCTAGGCTTCAAAATAAGCTTTCCAGTGTCATCACAAGACATATTAAAATCAGTCAATACTATCCTGGTCCTTGCAGTTATTATCGATGGAGCAATTACTCTTTTGTGTATACCAGACATTAGTAGCAAAACTGGAAAAAAATAATATTAATTAAGAAAACATATTGAAATAACAATACGATCATCACAAAAATAGTAACTATAAATTTAAAGATAAACATCTGCCCACCGATATAGACTCACAACATGTCTAACGGTCTCAAATTTACAGGCAAACTTCACCTTTCTAATCTTTCAGGCGAGGAAAGAAATTCGGTGAAATTTGGTCAAAATCGGCCCTTTTGCATATATTTGGGAATAAAAAACATTCCCTAATATATAACACAACTTCCAATAACAATAAATCATTTGGCCCTTACGTTTTATCACAAAAATTTAGGATATTCCATTAATCAGATGCTAATGTTCATGAACTCCTGTGTATGAAAAAGGCACGTGTAACCCAAATTTAATGTAGATGAAACTAATGATTCTGTAATTTAAATCAGTTGGAAAAATTAGGTGCATTAAACCAAAGGAAATCTAATATCCTATTTTATTTACTACATAAAACTATAGTCCAACCGCTTAAAAGGTTTTTACTCATTCTGACCAACTAAACATTTACTGTAATTTCTATGAATTTTATGATATAATACTAACTATGATAGAATTTTATAGTTCTGATTTACAACCCCAGTTCATTATCACTTTGTTTTTATATTTTTATTCAAAAATTCATGTTGCTCCAAATTATTGTAATTATAAGCAACTATTGCTAAAATCCTCAACTGAGGGTTTCTTTATTTTATAAAAGGCAATTTTAGTAGACTATAGAGAAATATTTGGAAGTTAAAAACTTTTGACTGACCATCCAAACGCAGTATTGAACCTCCAGAAACAGGGTTGTTTTCTAATTGTCTCTTCAATTAGTTGAATAAAAACAAATTTTGATCAAAACAGTAATAGTTATTGTCAAGTTGAGATCATACATATAAATATCAACACCCAACAGGGGCAATCTTATAATACATTCATTCTTTTTTCAAATCTTTTCAACCAGTAATTAATAAAAAAAACTTTGATTTTCAAGTTATCCATAACTAGCTCCATTTAATTAATTACTATGAACACCACAATAATGTTAAAAATAATTAGTAAATATGATTATAATAGTGAGATAAACATCTATTTCAACTGACTTCAAATACAATCATCCTAGGCTTATCTATAAAATCTACAAAAGTAAAAGAATAAAAGATATTTCCAATATTTCAGTCTATCATGCAAGAAACACTATTCTAACTTGTAAGGCTGTTAATTTTGAAGTATGACTGAAACATACAGTTCTTAAGAATTATTAAATTAATGTTAAGATAACATTTTCAGATTACATCATCATTAACAATTAACAAACCCTTTAAAATCAATTTTCCAATCACAGCTAAAATTAATTACCTAAAATTATGCTAGATGTAGAGAAGAATGGATGATTAATGAGACTTTGGGTGAAAGAAACATCTGATGTATGAGGGTCTGTCAACCAATACCAAGCTCCAATTGCTGTACATGTTGATATGATTGCTAAGAGAACTAAAATCAACAAATTTAAAGTTGTAGATTCCCAAAATGAATAGAAACAATGACATAAATTGTAAAAAAAAAAGTCTTACTTCTCCATCTTAAAGTCGCGGGTTGTAGGCATGAAATAACTTCAGTAAGCCTTCTTTCAAAAGCCTTTAAATCTGCACAACAGAGAAAAAACAAAAATAAATTTTGAATTGAAAAAGGATAACCTTTCCTTGTAAGCTTTTAAGACGAAACTATATATCTTTAGTGTATAAATTTCTGATCTTACAGACAATAAATGAATATTTCAATAATGAGTATTTTTAATCAAAAATTAATGTTTTTATTTACCTTCACATGCTGTTTGTTCCAGAGACATTTTGCCGTACTCCAGCCATACTTTGGTTTGTTTGGTTATCACATGACGTAAGTTGAAGGAAGGTTCGATTAGTTCATAAGGTTACTTTTGTTGAAGACCACACCGACCGCTTTGTATTATTCGTATGAATTCGTTCAGATTTTCTCTGCTTCGTATTTTAAACTTCGTTTTATAAAATGTTTAAAAAATTTGATGAAAAGGAAAGCATTTCGTGCACGCAACAGCTGAAGTCTTCGGTACAGAAAGGTATTAGAAATAAACTCTTAGATCAGTTTCCACACATTGAAGACTATATAGATGGTATTTTACCAAAAAAAGATACTTTCAAGATTCTAAAATGCCATGATCACATCGAAATAATTGTGAATAATGGAGGAGAACTGTTGTTTTTCCGGCAAAGGGAAGGGCCCTGGATGCCAACTCTCAGACTTCTTCACAAATATCCTTTTATGCTACCTCCAGAACAAGTAGACAAGGGTGCTATAAGATTTGTATTAAGTGGTGCTAATATTATGTGTCCGGGACTGACTTCACCTGGTGCTAAAATGACAGATGCCCCTAAAGATACAATTGTTGCAGTAATGGCTGAAGGAAAACAACATGCTCTTGCAGTTGGAATAACTGCTCTATCAACAGAGGACATTGCAAAAGTGAATAAAGGTGTTGGTATTGAAAATTGTCATTATTTAAATGATGGACTTTGGCAAATGAAAGTTTTTAAATGACCTGATGTTGAATAATGTGCCTATTTTAATTGCTTTTCTGTCAATTTTTTTTCTAGTTATAATTTGGAATAAATTGTTTTATTGATTTGCTAAGTTATTTAACCTTAAAATTATCTGCATTAATTAAGAAATCTTTGCCAAGTAATGTAACTAGTTTTCAGATTTCGGTTGAATCCTTCAATAGCTGTGTTCTTAGATATTATTTAGATCATCTCAGTTTAGATTTTATTTTGTTTTTTAGTTGTATAAGAATTACATTATTCCCTATAGAATGACCTGTTTACTTCATCTTCAAAGAAATGAAATAATCTCCTGGTATTGGTGTTTTATTCACTTTCTTTTTCTTTTTTTTAATTTGTACAGTAAATTTTATACTATATGTGTGCAAATTTCAAGATAGCAGACCTTTTATACTTCAATATTAATTATTATATTGATATAAGATTGATTTTTACTAGGAAGTAAACAACAGCTATTAAATAACCCACTATCTACTTTGATACAATTTTTTTAAAAATTTAGTATTTAATATATGTTTTATTAAATTTGATATGTATTTATCACACTTATATTGCAGTTAATAAATTCACAGCTGTATATTTGATAGATAATAAGATCTTTGGTACCTTTTTCCATTCGATCTTTCTCTGGATATAACTAGTATTATAAAATTAATTCTTGCTCTGTGCACTTAAACACTGTGGTTTAAAAGAATTTTAGAATGATAGTTATTCTATAATATCTGTCTCATTGACTTGGAAGAAGACTGGCACAATCCAAAACATAACTTTTAATAGATTGTTATCTTTGTGGGTATATAATGTTACTTTTGAAAAAGCTGGCACAACTCAAATATTAATGATTTTCCATAATCATCAAGGTGATTATGATTATGCTAATTAACAAATGATTGATATGCAAAAACTGAACAAAATTTATATTTTGGGTTGTGTCAGTATTCTTCAAAGCTAATGATATGTTTTTTCATGTTCCTAAATTACATTTGTGATTTGGAAATGAAAAAATAATTTAATATGGCTAAGGCATCTCAGAAGGTTGAGACGATTGGTTAATTTGGAAATCATCAGCTTATATAAGTGGCAACAGGAGAGTTGAATGGTGTCAGGAAGACAGCTAAAAGGATCAGAGAGAATGAGAAACACATCGTGTTAATTGGTGAGGTGAAGGAGATTTGTTAGGAATTGCAATTGTCTGAGAGCGATGAGATAAAAACGAGATAAAACATTTTATAACAAAGGGCAGGCTTGGGAGTTCGGAAAGTAAATCTTAGGAATCAAAGGTATTATGTAGTTATTTTCTTGACAAATATGTTCCTGTTACATTAATCTAATGGAATAATTCTATTAGTATGGTGCTACATACAAAGTCTATAATGACAGCTAAAAGAACGTGTTTTATTTATTTATATTTTTAATTGATTTGTATGATGATATATCTTCAATAAGTAATTTATTATTGGAAAAAAAATGTGAAACAAAGAAAATGCTGTGTTGCAAAATTAGTTAATCAAATAATATATATATTTTTTATTTGTATTCGCCTCTACCCTAGAGGGTCATTGGCGGTTTTTCTTAATTTTAATATTTTACTATAGTGATTTGTTTCCTATAAATATTCAAAGAGCATGACGATATTTGCCTCATTGTCTCCCAAAATATCTTTCAATGTTGTCGAAAGCTTTAGTTTTTGTCTCTCTTTCTTATATAGGGGGCACTCTAATAGTAAATGCTTGACTGATTGAGGTGTATTGTCACACTTTTCGCAGGTTGGCGCTTCGAGACCTCTAAGTAGGTATCCGTGTGTGAAAAGGCAGTGTCCGATTCGCACCCGGCACAATATTATTTCTTCTCTTCTCGACCTTCTGAAGCTTGTGGTCCATGTGTTGCACTCGGTTTTTATTTCGGCTAGTTTGGCTCGTTGTATTTTCCATTAACCTTCCCAATTTTTCAATAGATTTTTTCTTGCTTCATGGATCCAATCTTCAACGATGATGTCATTTATTGTTGTTATGCTTGGTAGCTCTCCCCAAATGAGCAGGTTGGTCTGCTTTTTCATTACCCATTATACCACTATGGGATGGAACCCAGACAAAGACCACACTTACTGATTTTTTTCTCATCTCCCATCATACGTTTATGATTTCTCTAATGAGAGAGTTGTCAGGCCATGGGTTACCAACTATAACTACGCTAACATCTTTGAGAAATTGGGTATTTTTTTTATCCAACATACAAAAGATCTTTTTTTTTAAAACTGCCTTTTTTTCTAATTAAATAAATACATTTTCATTTTCTTTTAACACAGCTGAGGTATAAGGATTGTGCAAGTAAATAGGATGCAGGATACTTACTGTTCATGTACTTAGGGAGGATGAGGTTGTTTTGATTATTTGTTTATCTATAGAAAATTCAGGAAAACATATAATATACATAATTTTTAATACATGTATTAAAAATGGATAATAAATCAACTCTCAACTTGGCAAAGCATACCAATTAATTCTCTAGTTAGAGAATATACATAATTTATTGGTAAAAACTTAAGTGATAGTAGACCTTAAATGCAGCCACAAAAGTGCATTTGGGCTATGGTCAAATTCCGGACAGGAGAGTAGTAAATGGAAATTTTGTATTTTCTTTAAAGTTGGTACATTTTTATTTTTAATAGGAAGCGCTAACTATAGTAAGGTGAATCAGAATTGTTTTATCATTAACTTGATCAAATATTCTTAAAAATAATTGGAACTTTTCTTGGTCAAAACCATTTGAAGGAACTTCAAAGCATTTATATAAATAATACCACTGATTACATTATAAGTCCAACTCAGAGATTTTCACAAAAAAAAAAAATACAATGTTTAAATCCTCTACATTAGGTCATCTAATAAGTTTTAATAATAATAGTCTAAAAGTGATACAGGAGTACAGAATAATAAAACTGTTTTAAAGATTTTGTTTTTATTTTATTTAAAACAAAATGTATGGTTATGATTGAAAAACAATCACAGGGTTGCAGTAACCAAAAACTCAAAGTGCAATAAAAATATTATCAAATTCAGGAACATAATGATTAAGTACAAAATTAAAACATTTAAAAAATAAAGTTCATTGAAGTATATAAGTAATAACAGCACAATTCTATGTATACAGCACAATCACATTTATAACCTAGACCTACATCACGCTAGTAAATTAGGCCAATCTTTAGAAAACATACTCTAATTCAAAATATTCAATATCTACTACATAGCTATCTCTCCAACTCATGTTATTGCAGAATTTCAACTTCTGTATTTTCAATATTAAATTTACAGTACTATTCAGATTCTTTTGAAAGACGTATGTTGTGTATCATTTACATTATCATGGATCGGACCGTGTATTATACATAGTGCATAATTTATAATACTGAATACATGTAAGTCTTATTTTACTTCATAATGTCATGTAAAGAAAAAGTATCTCAACTTCAAATAACTCTAGGTCTTAAAACTAATTGGTACCAAATATAACATGTAACAATCTATTTTTTCATTATGTTAAAGTTAAGTTTTTTTACAAACAGATGCCATGATAATACACAACTTATGAACATTTGGAATGCAGCAGTAGCTTAAATTAAACAGTAATTCTTTCAAAAAGTACAGTAGAGCTTTCTTATTCTTTACATTAATTATTTGCAGGAATGTTAAACTATTGTGTTTTAAACAAACAAATTAAAAATTATTTTTTTTAATTGCAGTACTCATTTCTGAAATGAGTCATCTGCACTGGCCTTATGTAGAAAAAATCTAATATCTAATGAATTCATTATGATTAACAATTGTGATAATTTTTTCTCTAAAATATACTTAAAACATAATTGTGAAGATCATGCCAATCACTCAATATTCTTTATTCAAAAAATAAAAACAACCAAATTCCCAATGTATAAGATGATTATTGAAAAAAATTGAGAATTTGTATATCAGCTAATAAGTTACATTCCAAACAATGCTTTCTTCCAAAATAATATGAAACTGAAGAACTGTATTCTATTCTAAGGCAACTATAAAGGTATTTGTCAATTTATTCAAATTAGCAATATGAGCAGCAGCATCTAGAACAAATATAAATACAAACAGATTATAAATGAATACTGAATTCTATCAAATAATTTATTACAGTGTATCAGTAAATAACTTTACTTTGAACTGAACACGGAGGCAATAACAAGAGAACTTGTTTTACAGAAACCAATGTATCCAGAGAGGGGAAAGATGGAAAAACATTCCCCTTCTAATGTGTAAAAAATTATCAACACCTAATATAACAAACCAATTTGTGCTAAATTAATTAAAAGTGAGAGGCTAGTTGTTAGTATTTCAACATTAAGCAAGAAACTAATAAAAAAATAAAGTCCTATTCTTAAATCCTCTCCCTTCTTCTGACTATGGTCTTGTTTAGTTTATAGGCACAGCAAATAGTTTTAAGTTTTTTCTTACTTAGCTTAAAAGAATTATTTGCTATATTAATATCAATTTGGAAAACAATCATTTTTTTATTTTTCAGTAAGCACATTTTTTTACTTTTCTGCCTATACTAGGTAAGCGAAGTATTGCGATCGGGTCAAATTTCCGATAAGATATTTTCCACAGTTCTATAAGTTTCCGAGCCTCCTGAGCCCGAAAAACATATTTTTAGTCATTGATCTGTCTGTGTCAAAATTTTCTCCGGAACTAGTGAACCGATTTTGATGCTTCTTTTCCTATTTAGTAGGGTTTTAACTATATAAAAATCGTTCATTTCGGATAACTATTAATGAAGTTACAGCTATTCAATTTGCAATGTAATATTAAGGGTACATATTCTGGGGTCAGAAAGGGATGAATGAGAGAGAAAAGATAACTAAGTGAAAGTAAGAAAATCTGTTGCCCGCTTCACTATTTCCTCTACTTTTAACAGAAATTATTGTTTGACAAAATTAGACTATGGCAAAAAGTTTTTGACCAGCAATATTATAGGGTATTGAAATTTTTACACTGATCTACCTTAAGCCTGACATTGTTTTAAAAAAAAAAAAAAAAAAAAAAAAAAAAACCTGAACCACTACAACCCATGGGGGAGGGGGGGTCTAGGGTTCAGTACTATTCTAGAGAAAGCACTGTTTCTTGGTCTACTGTTGTGCAAGGAGGTGATTTGACTGAGATCACGCTCAACTGCCAAGTTTTTCCGCTTTATCAATTATTTTAATTAAGGGTACCCACTTCATAGAGGCTGGGTGTGCCCCAGGAGGGTCTACCTACCCAGGGTCGCCTCACGGCCAACGAAACAGAATAAATAATTTTTCTGCCATGAGCGGGACCTTTAGCATTGGAAGCTCAGTACCCTACCACTGAGCTACCCCACTTCCTTAACATTGCTTTAGTTCATTAAATAAATCGTACTCAAATCTTTTCTTTGATCAATTTTCAAGAGAACAAATCTAATTTGTTTTTTTTTCTTGATGGACATATGTAAAGATATAAAAACTTTTCTGACATAGGTAGGAAAGTCGTGTGAGTGGACATATCACATTTTTTACTTTCACTTAAGCTAGAGTCACATGATGCCCTAAGTAATAACTGCACCGGATGTTTTTTATTAAACACTAGGTTGTTGCATAACTTCATTTGCCAATCTTCACTTTAATGAGATAATATATCAAGTAGGAGAACTCAGCATTTGTTGTAATGCTACAGAAATAATAAAAGCATTTTTGTCTTAATTCTGTTTATCGAAGAGTTTTTGACTACAAAATACTCACAATTATGAAAGAGAAAATAAAATTGTATTTTTACATGGAAAAAGAACAGGAAGGACGGTGAAAGAATGGAACGGTAGATAGAAAAATAAGACCACAAAAAAAATTAAAACATAATAGAGCAGAGAGAATACTATCAAAACTAAGATGATAGAGAGAGTGAAATATTGAAAAGATTCATAATAGGAGACAGTGGATCAAGGGAATTCCCTAAAAGAAACAAAATTCATTTTAATGTTCTTATAATGTCCAGATCTTGATATCAATAAAAAATAATGTGTCTGTAATTTTTAGTCATTTTTAAAAATTAAAAGAAAAAGAAAAAATTCAAAACCTTAATGTCTTTGAAGTGAGACTCCCATTGGTCCTAATATGTTAGTCGCAGGACCAGGTCCTCCCACTTGCGCTTCATAGGATGCAAGCATGTTTCTTACAGCATTCATATCAATATCAACTGGCTCAAAGCTCTCTATATCAGAGAAACTATCCTCCATGCCCTGAAATAAACAATAACATTCATGAAAGCTGGTTCACAAGCATAATATTTTTTTATTATATAGTTTTAATAAAAAAATATATTGGATTAGAACTATTGAAATGTCAGTTTCTAAGAGAGTAAATAGTAAGAGGAAAATGAAAGAAAGATAACGTTTAATATTATTATTGTTATTCAACATTATTTCTATTAGCTTCAATACATTTCATTCGAAATCCAATAAGATCTTTTGGTACTTCATGTCTAGGGGGCCGGACTGAAACCTCACTTCTTATCTATCTTATCTAACGTCACGTCACATAACCTCCGTCTTCTTATCCCGCCAAACCTTTGAGTTATTGCATTGTTTAGTTTTCAGTTATTCCCTTATTACGTTCACTTATTAAATTCTTTACTTTTGGCCCGTTTGTGTTTATTTTTCATTATTTTTAATTTTTTGTCCGTTTGTGTTTATTTTACATTTATTTTTTAGTTTTTGGCCCCTTTGAGTTTATTTTTCATTTTTTCCCGTTTGTTTTCGTCATATTATGGATCTTCTTAGAATATAGGATTCGCCGCCTTCAGAAGAACAGAAGTTAACCAGGAAGGCCAAATGGAGATGCTTTCGTAGGACTTATGACACAAAACTTTCAATAAGGAAAGGAACATAGTTGGAGGGCTCGAGGATTTCGTTTTTAACAGCTTTAAAATTGATTTATGGGTGGTCCCATAGCTTGGCAACGATGAAGTGGGGCAAAGAGCAGCTGAAACTATCATACGGAGCAATGGTAATGGGGAACAAATGTCTAAGAGAGGTTTGTGCCCATGAGATGTTATACAGGCCAAGAAAAAAAAATTGGAGGACCTGGCAAAGTGGTTGAAGTAGATGAAAGTCTTTTTTCTAAACGAAAAAATCATGTGGGGAGAGTTTTACCTCAGCAGTGGAGGTTTGGTGGAGTTTGCCGAGAAACAGATGAATGTTTTATCTTTTTATAAAACAGATTTTATGTTTTATATTTTTTCTTTTCTATGTAAATATGTTCTTTTAAATGTGTTTTTTTTGTATTTCATTTTGATGTTTTATATGTACATATCTTCTTAAAGTGTTTTTTTATTATTTCATTAATATATTTGTCGTCAAATAAAAGTATTTTTGTTGTTATTACATTTGTTTTTGTATCTGTTTACACTTTCAATAATACAAATTTAATACAATAATACGAATATATGAAGTAGGAGAAGGCTTATCACTGTGTTATGGGAGTTATCAGTGTTTAGGTTATAAACATTGGCAGATAGCAGTCAGTAGCCCCCCCTAGACAAGAAGTACCGATCTTTTATATCAGGGTTTTTAGCTGTAAAATGATAAACTTAAGAAATGAATAAGTTTACAATGTTTTCATAGTGGATTTTTTTTTAAGTGGGCTAAGTGCTCTGAAAAAAAAATTGCAGGCAGAAACTTAGGAAAAAGGAAGGAGAAAACTTAGGAAAATATGATGAATGTGGCAGAACTTCAAGTTTCATATAATTTTGTTATAGTTAATTGGAACATACAGTAAGTTATGTTGTTATATACTTCAATTTTCAGACGTTTTTTCATATGTTCCAATAGTCCAGTTAATGAATGATTATAAAAGCAAATGGCGGGGCCACAATTTTTGATTTTAGGAAATTGTTTGGACTAGTAAGGATGTAAACATACTAAAAGTCCCCACTCCTAGGTGGTGAGGTATATGTGGGGGAGGGAGCACCTAGAAGGTGTCTTTCTTGAGGTTTTCTCTTATATCAGTAAAACTATCCACATCATCAACAAAGACCTTCTATTCAAAATTAAAGCTGATAAAGTTTGCAATATGATTGATTATATACCTTTTTTCGCTACTCCACTTAGTTTCCGAGATATCTGTCCTCAACTATGACTAATTTTGAAAAAAAAAAACTTACCTCCTCTTAATTACTGTATTTGAATAGCTAACTCTTGATTGCTTCTTTCTATGGTAAATTCCTAAGGAATAAAGGTTTTAATAATTAAATTTTCTTCAAGAATATATATTTCCACTTTATATATTTTACTTTAAGAATATACATTTTACCAGTTTATCTCCAATGGTTCAAAAGTTAGATCAATTATAACTTTATATGTCAATTCCAAGAATTTGCAGAAAAAATAATTTTTATAATATTCCTTATTATTATATTGCTCTAACTCTCTATACAACTAAATCTCTAGTATTTATATATATAAACATACATACAATAACGTTTATTATAAACATTACTTTTTCTGCAAATTCTCGGAATCGGCATAAAACTAATCTAACTTTTGAGCCTCTGAAGATAAACTAGTAAAATAATATATATTCTTGAAGGAAATTTAATTATTAAAAAGTTTCTTCTACACGACTTAATTGTAGAAAGAAGCAATCAAGAGTTAGCTAATTAAATACAGTAAAAAACATGAGGTAAAAATATTTTTTACAACATTTCCGACAGCTGAGGACAGATATCTCGGAAACTAAACGAGACAGCAAAAAATGGTATATAATTAATCATATTAAAAATTTTATCAGCTTTAATTTTGTATAGAACATCTTTGTTGATGCAACGGATAGTTTTCCTGATATAAGCGAAAACCCCAAGAAAGTGACCTGCTAGGCGCCCAATCCCCACATCTAACTCAGCACCTATGAGTGGGGACTTTTAGTATGTTTACCTGCTTACTAGTCCAAACAATGTCCTAAAGTAAAAATTATGTCGCCGCCATTTGCTTTTATAATCATTCATTAACTGGACTATTGGAACATATTAAATGTCTGAAAATTGAAGTATATAACAACATAATTTACTATGTGTTCCAATTAACTATAACAAAATTATATGAAACTTGAAGTTCTGCTACATTCATCATATTTTCCTAAGTTTTCTCCTTCTGCCTATACCCCCTTTTCGAGCATTCATTGACTGGACTACAACCCGATACAAGAATAATGCCAGACCATTCTGCTTACTATCTTGTTGGCTCTAAGAGCTAAGCATATTAGCACAAAAATATTGCTACTTTTATCAAAATAGAAACTTTTTTTAAGGGGTATTCACATAACTTGTGATAAATGCTTAATATGTTATGATGTTAAACAGTTGTTAAAACTTTCAGACACAGTTAACATTTTGAGATAAAATTTTCCTTCAGAACTATAGTTTTTCCTGTTAATAAATACGCAAAGATGATTTAAATTATCATTATGTCATTAAAATAATGTTAACTGCAAGGAATTTTTAAAAAAATCTTATTCATTTCAAACCAACGCTTTTTCTATAATTATGGATAATAAATTTTTGTCCTCTTTCATTCAATGTTCTACAGATTCCTTCTCCATTTTTTTCTTACATTATATTTCACTAAAAACGATAGTAATAAACAGAAAATGAAACCTAATAATAACCTTTCCAACCCACTTAAAACATTAGTACCAGTTTTAACAAGCGCGGGACTGTATTTGTTAAAATCAAGAGTACAACCAGCCATACTAAATATTAACATTAAACACAAATCTTAAATAAGTTTCTCGATTTTAACATGCTTAAAAGTTTTACGATATTTAGCACTGTTTCCATGATTACTTTAAATAACTGTGTTTAAGACAACTAAATTAAAATTGACAGTTTTACTTCACACAGTTAATTGAAATTATCTTTTGTCTATTTGTTAAATAAATAAAACAAACTAGAATATAATAAAAATGCACCTTTGGTTTTTTCTTGATAAAACTTTGGCCTAGGGTAGTCCCCTGTAATTCTCTGTCCATCTGATCCATGTATTGTTTTAGTTCTGAGTCACTTTCGAGCTGAGCTGAGTTTGATTCTAAACAGATCCAAAAAAAATATGTATAATTAATCACAAGGTAAAATAGAATAATCAATATTCAGTCAGCTTCGTAGGTAATAATATATATATATATTGATCTTTCATTTCATTAAACAACTTTTAATTTAATATTTTAAATTTTTAGTTTTAAATTGCAAAACAATACGAACTGGTATTCTTTTTCCTAGATAGATCCATTTCAGCTTCATCTTCATATGAGCTCATTCCAGACTCGTCACTATCTAGATCCCAACTGTCTTCAGGCACAGAGAAATCTGCAAACCAAAACAATTATTATACATAATAGCAAATTCATGTTTTCTAAATTTTTCATGAAGTAACAACAGGCTGGGTATTGAAAAGTTAGAAAACTCAACCATTAATTAGTTTTAAATCACTTTGAGAAAAAATAGAAATAACCACACAGAAGAGCTGATAAACTGATTATTTTCATCTCAGTTAACCTTTTTTTCACAGATTCTACAACATATCCTCATTACAACCAATTTTTTTTTTTTTTTCAACAAGCCAATTCTCAGACAAAAATAACAAGCTATGAAAAAAATATTATTGACTTAAAACGTATATTAAGAAATGTCTAAGCCTTGATGTTGGTATTGAATGGGTTTTTATTTTATTTTATCCTCATTCAACCAAATTCTCCTTACTCGTAGGTTTTTAAGTTCAGACTTTATGAAGTCATTGTTTTTTAATTGAACAATGATCATATATGTACATGAAATTAATAATTTTCATATTTATTAAACTTATTTTAAGTATTATTCTAATAAAAATATGTTATTTATATAATTTGAAGTAAACATTATATTGTATTTTTGAAAAATAAAATTAACTTTAAAATGATATATTTAATAAGCAATTTCTTTTTTTCTTTTTTCACAGAATACAAAAAAGACTGACATGCTAGTTTTTCTTTCTCTCAACTCAAAACACCTAAGTCACAAAATATTCTTCAGTTGCTATACTCACTAATAGTACTTAATAACCAAGTTATCTAAAATTATTCTTACCTAAAATGTTATTTAAAGCGCATGTGAATGCTTCTTGATCAAATGAAATTCTATTGTTTTCATCGTCCCTAGTTTCTTCAGTCTTTTTGTTTCTTTTTTGTCTCAGAGGTACTTCTGGAGCATGGGTACTGTTAAACAAAATTTATTATAATAACAACAAAATATTGATTTTTACTATTTTCAAAATAAGTTACTTGAAATAACAAAGTATAGCATATAATTAATTTACAAAGAAATTTACTAACAGAAAATAAATAATTAATTAAAGAAATTAACTGATTTTACTTTGATAATACTAAACAGACCATGCTGAGATTTTGCAGGAAATCTAAAATTTTATTAATTTATTATTTTATAGAAATATGGATTAAAAATTACTTAATTACATACCCTCAACGTTCCGTAAAAAGAGTAAATTTAACAAATTGGCATTTTCAGATTTTTTGCATTTTTAATTTCCTCATTTCAAACCTACCAATTAATAAAATACCAGCAAATCTGAAACTTTCTAAAATATTAACAGCAACGCTTTATATTTATGAAATATTTCGTATTTTTAAGTGATTTTCTACATATTCTATATCTGAATAAGCTCAAAACCAATATTGTCTAAATATTTTGTATTAAAGGAGATTGGTCAAATAATATTCATCGTAAAACATTGCTACACAAGGTTCATAAATAACCTCAGCTACAACATGCATCTCTTTTCTTACTTCAAGTTAAAACTTTTTCTATAAAAATAATGTAGACTCAATAATCATACCAGTTGGTGGTATATAACAGTAAAAAATAAAAGGCAACAAAAATAACTAAATGCTAATTTTGGATAAGTCATATAAAGATAAATTGACTGTTTTTTTAGAGATTTTTTATGTTGAATTGAAGTACAAATGAATTGAAATTTACAGCTTTTAGAGATTTTTAAACGAATTGACTATTTGTACCTAGGTTTAGGGTGTTGAACACCATCTAATCCAGATATGTTGTTGAGAAAGGCAGTAAGGCTTGAGGTAATATCAGTTGTTTGAGGTCGAGCACCATATCGCTCCTTCATCATTCTTTCTAAATCATCTCCAGAGATAGTCATCCAAGAATCATCTAAAACCCATAGAATTAAAAAAATTGAATAAAATGAAAATAGTTTTTATCTAATGAAGCAAACAAATAAGTAAATACCATCAGGTGGAGGAAGGGAAGATTCGGCTTTCTTGAGACCTTCCTCATCAACTTCTATAGTTTCAAGAAGATCTACAACAGTAGTTGCCAACGGAGGTTGAGAATAACAACTGTGTGTACGATAATATTCTTTTGCCTCATTTTCCAGCCTATTGTAATCCTGGCTGCCTTCTAAAAATTCCTAATGAATAACAGAAACACTTTACAAATCACTTTAAGGAAACATTTTTTTTTTTTTTTAGTTGAACAGTAATACAATCTAGATAAAGTTTAATGAAGTAAATTTAAGTTAAATGAAAATACAAAAAATCATATAAAATACGTTCAAACCTATGTACAATAATTACATTCACCCAAGGGACTCCAAACCAAATTTTCTCCACATGTGGAGAAACAGATCATGAACTCCAATAACATACTTACTAAAGATCTTAGGTCCATGCCACAACCGTATCCCTCCCTACTATAAACCTTGCCACCTTCACAATAGCATAACAATAATTATTTCCAATACCCTATATATCATTTATTACTTAATCCTTCAATATTTTTTTTTCTAATGCATGAATTTACCTTGAAATAACCTTTTTCGGTTAGAGATTGTTTGTATCGAAGCCAGCCCTTGTCTGCTTCAATCGACTCAGGAGATTTGGCTTGAGTAACAAGAATTTCAAATCCACAGGCCTAAAAAAAAATTAAAATGAATAAATTAATGTTCATGTACTCAGAAAAATACAAATAGAAATGTGCCATCTAATAGCTATTCCATTCATTATTTAAATCCCTAACAAGTTTTCATTATTGTTAAAACAAAAAGTATGATTTTTTAATAGATTCAATTTGTTTAAAAATAAAAGCAAGAAGACTACAAAAATGAGAAAAATTAATCTTTGCAACCTTTTTTCTCACAAATCAGTTAATATATTTAAATACTATCAGGGTGGTATACTTTAAAAATTATTCTACTGAAAAACTATTGGAACAGTTTTGCAGATAATACAAATTATCTCTCTTATCTTTATTAAAGAATGAAGATAGAGAGACAAAGAATAAAGAATGGAAGAGAGGACTGACAGAAAGTATGTTTTTAATGACTCTTTGGTAAAAAAAAAACTACAAATGAATGAATAACATTTATTATAAATAGTTTTATAGATGAAATAATGTTATATTTAAATTTTAGGAATTTATAACTTAAGTATTTTTATAATGACTAATTTCAAACTCAGAGCCACTTCAGCATTGAAATAAAACAATGATAGTTAACATCTCAAGTATACACAATTTATAGTGAGCCCAATGCATATCATTGCTACAAGATTAGAATTTTAAAAAAAGTAACTCTTCAGTCTAAAACATGAAGCTATGATAATAGGAGTTATGTAGGCATGAATCTCAAAAAGTATCCAAAATATTTGGAAGGTGCTAACAGAAGTTTTATTAATGGAATAACAGAAGTTATAAACAATAAAATAAAATTTTCAAGTAAAAATAGTATAAATACATTTTCTCAAAATATATTCATTTAGTTTTGTCATTTAAATTGAATTGCATTTTTTCATGAATTCCTTTTTTGAAAGTTTACTCTGCATTAATAATTCACAATTTTATTTAAAACTAAAATACTCAACTTTGATCAAAAGGTGTTTAAGCTTTAGTGATCGACTGCTCACACATGTGTGTGACGGCCGGGCCAACCGTTAGCGTCAGCTCACACATGTGTGTGATGGTACTGCCAAGTTGCTAATGCAGAGTTATTGGTTATTGAGAGTTACTGAGAAAATTTGTTTAAATTAATTCTTCAAAAATATTGCCAGCCCCTGGCAAAATTAGACTGTGTATATGTGGCCAATAAAGTGTTCATATATATTTATTTAGCAACAGAAAAGTTGTCATCTTCACTGTTTTCTACAAAAAGAATAGTTTTTATTTCCCCCCCCCCCCTCAAAAACACAAGAGTTTTCTAAAATAGCTAAAAACAGTAGAATTCATTCTTACTATTTCAGCAGATAAAACATTAAAAATGTAGTTTATAGTGATATCAAAATTAGAAAACATTCCAAAATCCTATAATACACATTAGCATTGTTAAATAATTATATTTTCAAAAGCTGTAAATGAATATATCAATTACAAATATTACAAGGGCATAAACGAGAGTCTATGAATTTAAAGGTAGGACTCAGAGGATCCATAATAAAAAAAATATAGAACTTTAAATAAGATAATGGGTAATGCTATCGCTAACATGTGAGCAATAGAAAATTATAAATAAAAAAAAGTCCCATTATGAAACTTATAAGTCAGTTAAAAATATAAATATATATATATATATATATATGAATAATAATAATAAAAGGCTTAGTGAACCCGAAGGTTCGATGGCGACACCACCAATCGCTTATTACACACCACCCTCCACCATTTGCCGTCCAAACTCAGTCCCTTCAGATCGGCTTTAATGCAATCTTCCCGTCTTCGCCTCGGTCTACCCCTCGGATGCTTACCATTCGGCACAGCAATATTAACCTTTTAGGAATTCTCTCGTTACTAAGCCCAACAACTTTACAAGCCCATTTGATTTGCCGCAATGAAATTACCTCAATTATATTACCCGGATACAGTTCACGCAATTCGGCATTGTGTAACCGTCTGAACTCTCCGGTTAACTCATCCTTCTTCGGTCCAAATATATATATATATATATATATATATATATATGAAACCATCTAAAATTAAAAACATCATAACAGACCATAAGTCATCTCATTTTTCTTTATGAACCAGACACATTACAACCCTCATAAGTAGAAAGTAATCAGAAAAGTTTTATATTTGAAACTTCCTCACCAATTTGACTCCAATTGTGTGAGGTAGATAAAGAGGAGACGTAGGCGAAGGCAACTGCCACCCTGTTCGGCGATCTGGTGTGTACTTGGCCTGGCTGAGCATTGCATACTGGCATCTGGTCATCTTCACTGTTGTCATCACCCTAGTTTCAGGAGGGAAGTTACGCATCGCCCTCATAGCCTACGGAACAATTAACATATAGATAACAAGTAAAATATATATATATTTTTTTTTAACACCTCTCAAAAATCTACTAGTTTTTTAATAGATTCGCAATCTATTCCTGATAGCACCTTAAAACTTTTGAAAACAAGATGGTGCTCCTTTTCATATATTGTCCTTGAGTGGTACCAAAGACTGGGTTCTCTATAAATCATCTTCATACGATAATAATACTACGTATCAGCTGATTTACTAAATATATTGTAGATAAAGTTATAAATTTCGGTACTCCTTAGATAGCCGGTCGGGTCGAAACCTCCCTTGTTATCTAATCTTATATCACATAACCTCCCTTCTTATCGCGCCTAACCTAAGTTATTCCATTGTTTATTATTTATTCCTCGTGTGAGCTGTGAGTTATTATTATTTTTGTTCCATTAGTGTCATTTTTGCAAAATTATGGATGTTGTTACATTGTTCGAATTCCCATCTTCAGTAGAAGAGACAATCAAATATTTTCAAGACGCCGGGATAATTGCGAAGGTGAAATATTGTGATGAAGGTCATGAAATGAAGTTCAACGGGAAGACGAAATGGAGATCCTTTCGTACTTGTAACAAAACGCTGTCTAACAATATCTAAGAAAATCTAAGTGGTTTTTTATTATTTCATTTATTTTTATCTATTTGTTGCCTATTTAGATTATTTCATTTATTTTTATATATATGTTGCAATATTATCGTAATTTTTTTACATTATATATACATATATATATAATGTTTTGGCCTATTTAATATATATATATTGTAAAATAAGAGTATTTTTTATTACTACATTTGTTTTTGTTAACAATTTCAATGAATACGAAGATATATTAATATGAATATAATACAATAAATATGAATACGAAGATAGGAATTATCAGTGACTTATCAGAATTATTGGCATTGGCAGATAGCAGTCGGACACGACCGGCTATTTAGGGAGTATCTAAATTTCAACTTGAATTTTACATTTCAGATGTCAATAAATTTTATTTTGTATCTTTCTGTATACAATCAGCCTACTATCATCAATCCAATTTTGATTAATTTTTTTGGAATTGCGTAGGTCCATACCAGGATAGAACCATATTAATTTTATCAAATTCCATCCACTACTTCTTAGAAATCTGCAAACATTTTATTTAATATGCCTGTATCTCACAAGTCAATCAGACCCTCCCCTTATCAATCAGACCCTAAGTAGGACAGAAGGTGGATATTGGTGAAAAAATTATTGATTAGATATCAATTTTATCAAATTTCATTCACTACAAATAAAAAATTAAAAAATAAATTTTAATTATAGAGGCACAAATGATTTACTTTGATTTGCCTATATTTCAAAATTGACAGTTCAATTAGTTTTAAAGTTTGGATAAATTCAAGGAATAATGTAAATATTAAATCGTCTAGTATCAATTTCATCAAATTACACCATTTAACAACTATGACAAATATAACTAATAGTTATTAATATAATGGCTGTGAAATGTGATAATCAGCAAACATATAATATGTGGGGTTGTATAACAAGTCATTCAGTAATCAAATCAACGTCCCAGGCAAAATATCTAATGCTGTCAATTTAATTTGATGAAATATTCAGAAATTGTGAAGATTGATATCTAGATGGCTGAAATCCAGTTCATCAAATGTTATTCACATTTTTATATTATTCATGCATTTTTCCTAGAAGAGATTATTATACTTCAAAAAGAGCATCTTCCATAGATTTTATTCTTTAATGACAAATCATAGATCTTAAAATATAGGTAATTATTTAACAATAGAGATGGTGAGGAAGCTAAAATGACCCTATTTCATGAATGTTCTTAAACGAAACAATTAATATTGTTAAAATAAGAAAGTTTTAAAATGATAAATATAATCAAATATATTTAATAATAAAATGTATTTCATTAAACCAAACAGCTTTCTGAAACCTAAATAAAAAAATTAATATAATAATATGCTACTTGCTATGCTATAATAATAATATGCTATAATTTATTTGTGATGACCAATTAAAATAAAAGATAATAATCCATAAATATCAACGTACATATATTACAGGTTTTTATGATTAAAAAATAAAATAAAATATTTAAACTAAAAGATACAGACATGTAAATAAAACAATGTGTAAATACAAAATTATTTATTTTCCATACAAACCCTGGTATCAATAGGATCCCTATGACAAAAAGCAGTAACTGCAGGAGCTATCAAAGATGGTCGAGCACGCAACAAAGCAGCCACCCTAGATGGAACATATGCTGTTGTCTGATGTAGCAACTCAAATACCTTTTCAGGATATCTGAAAGCATATAAAAATAATATAAATAAATAATATTTATGTACTTCATTATTCTTAGATGAAAAATTATAAATTATAAATTTATAAGGGAAATGGTATTTTCATCTGGAGGTGCTAGTTTGATTTTACCTAGGTGACAGCAGTAATTTCTTAACTTATTTCCCCTTTAATACAATATATTAATCATTACATTAAATATAATATTATTTATATTATATTGTGATAAACTTATAATTATTATGAAATAGAAAGGGAAGCACAATATAATGTACAATTAAAATACAATATTAGAAATAAAAGGATATTATTGTTGGGCTTATATGAATCTGGACAAGTTAAATATGTATTATGGTTACAAATTGGCAATAAGAATAATTATAATTATATATAGCAATAAGGCGCAATGTATAATACAGATTTTTAAATAAATTAAAACTTTGACCGAACAGTGGTTTCATTAAGTTTATTTTATGTTGATAGAAATAATACAATCTGAACTACAGAATAAATGTAAATTAAAATTATACAGTTTGAGCAACAAGTAGTACAATTAAAAGAACAGTTGTGTAATTTGTAAAATGAGGGTTGGTCTGCAGAGGTACCCCCTAATATACATATTATACTGAATAAATAAAATTAAATAATAGGTTAGACACACATCTATCGTAATGAAGAATAAATTACAATTTTTAACCACAATATGATATTATGGGAACATATTATATTCTTTTCATTAATAATTATATCATAACATACATTACTTTTATTTATTAAAATCTTTGTTCCTTTTATTTATTGAAATTCTTTTCATTTCTTGCACTCATCAATTTTTTGTAATAAACAGGTATCTTTAGGTAAATAAATAAATAGGTATTTTGTAATAAATAAATAATTTTTTTGGGTTAGAAGCTGCAATAAGTTTTTATCATCTTGGAATAGTAATCCTAGAGTAAGCTAAATTAGGTTAAATTCAAGACCCCATTAACTCTTGTCTAAGCAAATGAAGCCTGGAGGACATTAAAAAGGTCAACAAATAGGCAAACCCAACTTGGATTTAAGCATTTTTCTTTTTTTTTAGTATCATAATTAATGTTTACCTTTTTTTTTCTTACTTGTCTCTAATATACATTCTTACTTGTTGTTTATTAAATAGGTAAATAGATAGAAACCTAGTAATCTGTGTAAAACTGTAAGTAGTTGATCTTTTTTTTAAAAAATTATATATATCTTTTTGGTACGTGTTATTGTTAATTATATATTAAGTCATATCTAACAAGAAAAACAGCACACAATTGAAAATTGGAGGACTGTAGAACAAAACCCTTTAACATGTTCGCTTCCAAGCGACAATTTCAAAAACGGTTTCACCACACCCATCATCAAAGCCTTCTAAGAACATGAAAATACTACAAGTTTGATCACATATCGTATAGGTAAAACAAAAACGTTCTATGATTAACTTACGATTAATTAATTAATTTATTTTACTATTAATTACCTCGTAGTTGCCTAGTAGATAACTCATTGAATGGATTAAACAAGAAAGGTTGTTCCCTCAATTTATGAGATGTCAGTTTAGATAGTATTTTTAAGGAAAAAATTACTTCAGTAAATCAAGGAATGATATTAAACAAATTATAATCCTGAGGTAAACATAAAATGAGAACTAAACTATTTTTTAAATCGACAATATATCTGTAGCAAAGCAATTGTAGCATAACATACCCACGAAGTCTTGATTTGATGGAATCTTGAATTTCTTGTGAGGCTCTTGTTTTATCAGGATTAGCCCTGATTGTAGCAAGTGCTTGAATTAGAGAAATTTGTTCTCTTTCACGTCTAGGTGGGACAATATGAATTTCACCTCTATAAATATATACCTAAAGAAAAATTAAATTAAATTAAAATATTTTTCTTAAATTTAAAGAACAATTTATTACAAAGTCACTACAAAAAATAAATTGAAAACATTATTAATAGGAACTAAATTATATTTAATAGAAACAAATATGAATTCACCTTGTGATACCACATAATAAATCATTTTTTCAGGTAAACATGACTAAATATTGAATATTTAAAGAATATCAATTTTTTATCCTAGCATGTTTTACAATCTCTATTTCAAAATTAATAATTTTTAATTGTGGAGGATAATTGATCCACGTTGATACTTTTCAATTAAATTTCAATTACTAATCATACCATCAAAACTAACTCACTAATTTATAATGTAATTAGCCATATTTTACTAATTTCACCCCTAAAACTTAGGTTTCATAAGATAAGCCAGATTTATCAAAAAATTAATATGAAATTTTATTTAATGTACAAAAAAAAATGTTTTACTTAGGTGAATTTAGTGTTTAAAAGTTTATTTTTCGCACCAATGCTAAATTAATTTGACTGACTAAAAATAGTTTAATAAATATTATTGTCAAATTATTTTTGGAGAAAAATTAAAAACACGATCTTTCTCTTGAAAAACCTAATTAATTAGTAACAAGGAAAAATCAAGGTTTTACTAATAAATTTATAAAATTTATTAATAGTGATTTACTATAATTAGTGGAAGAGAGGATAAAGATAAAAAGAAAAAAGTAATTATATTAATAAGCAAATGTAGTAGAGGGAACAAAATAAATAAAAATTAATTTTAAAGTCCTTACACATAAATAAAAAAGACTAATAAATCTTTCAACATTGCAGATTAATACTTTTGACTTTAAAAACTATCAAAACCATATAAACTGCAATAATAAAACTTAAATAACATTAAAAATTCACTCTTAAAAATGATATTATTAAAATTTATAATAACTTTATTCCTTTTATGACGAAAAAAAAATATATTATGACTATATTTACTATAAAATATAAAAAAACTAAATATACTATTCTATAATTGAACCGGTTTTATTTATTTTTTAAGAGTATTTACATATTTTTCTAAACTTATTTATTTTAGTATTTCATAATACCTATTCTATTCTATTAATTTAAATTTATTTTAAATAAAACTAATGAAATAAACATAAAATATCTTCAAAATATAACATTTTATCCATATATAGTAAAAATTGAAATCTGAGGGTACCAGAATTATTGATTATAGCAGAATTCAACTTTTTTGATATGACTCATGCCCTACCACAACATGCCCTTCTCAGTACTCACTATTGATTACTTAGTTCCAGTAATTGAAAAGTATAAGAAGAAAAGTCAAGGCTCCCTTCAGTAACTTCTCTCTTATGTGTGATTTATAATATTTACTAGAAGAGTTTTTTTATACAAATAATAATACAATATTGCAAATTTAAATATACCCTTTTATCACAAATCTCAGGTGATGCCCATGAAGGTAAATGATCAGCACCTTCAATAAGCAAGAATTCGCCATCTACGTCAATCACTCTGAAATTTATTAAATAAAAATAAAATTACTTTTAAAAAAAATGTTTTTCTAAACAGAAAAACAAAACAAAATATAATTACCTTGCAATCAAACCAGAAATATTTTTTGTCAATTCAACCAATAAATGTACAATAAACCACTCATCTTCAATATTTTCACCATAATGTGTGACGCCATATAAATGAGGAGGGAGTGTTTCTAGAACAGAAATTAGCGTTTTCAACAACAACTAAACAAAAGCCTTATGCATTATATGTACTACAAATTTAATTATGTTACCTACAATTTCATACCAGTAATTTAAATTATAATTATTATACGTTTATAACTGATTACCTTCGTTGTCAACTATTGGAGGCATAGTAGATGTGTTCCTAGGTATAATAACAAATTCATCCTTCTGCCAAATGTAGTTTTCTGATCCTTTCTTGGTCAAGTCAGTAACTTGAGACTTGAGATTTAGAACCGTTTGGGTAGCCGATTCCTCATCGAAATTATCAAGAGAAAACAAAAAGTACTCGACGAAATCATCTTCCCTTACTATCTCCAAAACATCCCTTTGACAAGCCATGACAATAACCTCTTAAGAACCTCTTTATTCAGGTTATGTGTACACCGATAGCCGCCAGAGAAAGCAGCCTCCATGGAGGTGTCAATTATGGACAACTAAAATGAAAGTTAATTATACTTCGAAGTCCGGTATTAATTGTTACCCATACTATTTCCAACTTTTTCTGTTAGTGTTTTATTTTGAAGTTATTGTTAAGGTGCGTTTAGACATTTCAGAAACAATAGGAAAAACAAATACGTAAATGGATTTTTTTTCACTACGTTAGAGTTTTTGTTTCTTATTTTTTATGTTTACCACCTGATGTCGGTAATAAGAGAAATAAAATAAATAGTTTGGTTTAGCACTAACATTTCTGTTAATTAAGTTGCATATTTGTATTTCTCATAGATTGTGAAATGTCTAAATGCACCTTTAGAGTTCATTTTATATACTCTTTACCAACCTCTCTCATAAGAGACCAATAGGGATAACATTCATTTAAAAAAAATTAAATAACCTTATTTACTCTTTAATAATTAAATATAATACGAATTTCATAATTAATAAATAATATGGCATAGGTCTGGAGATTAGTCAAGTCAAAACCTTAGTCAACAAAAAGAGGAGTTTCCACCTGACGTCGGGGAGTGAGCTGCTGACACCTAAGGAACAAGCTGAAGTCCTGGCCATGAACTAAAGGATGCTGAGCGGACGGAAATTGCTCCAGCAATACCGAAGAGACCAGTGCCTTGTCTCAATGATGAACCTATCTTCTCTACCTTCAATCACCTAGAGTCAATACTATGACGCACTAAAGGAAAGGGTCAGGACAGGATGCGATTCCGTACGTTTTACTAAATATTCTCTCTAGGAAGGGTAAAGTCTTCTACTGAACATCTTCAACTCATGCTAGCGAATCATATACTTCCCCACCGCATGGAAACGAGCTAACGTAGTCACTCGAGCCGAAGAAGAAAGGAGACTCAGCAGAGCACAACCGCTCGATCAACCTCCTCTCGCACATCAGTAAGGTCTTCGAGAGGCTAATTCTCCACCACTTCATGAAACACTACAAGGAGGAGCACATAATACCACCGGAGCAGACTGGTTTCCAGCGAGAAATCCCATGCGAACACTCTTTTACTATACGATAGAACAGATGAGTCCATTAAAGCGGCTACGATTATCTCTCAGGCCTCTGATTGTGTATCTCACACGCATCTACTTCGCCGTTTGTTGGAGTTCAGGTTTCCCACCACCCTATGCCGGCTGATTTCGAAGCTTAGTGTGAGTAGGGTGTTATCCGATAAAAAAAAAAGGTAAAATTAAATAAGTATATTTATTTTTATTTTTGCCGACGTTTCGCCCTTCATCACGAAAATATTTCATTAGTCCTTACTTTGTTGCCATTATGTTATTACTGTTATTATTGTACCTACTTTATTTTACTGAAAACTTTAAACTAAAAAGCTTTAATAAAAATTGGGTAACTTTGCTCACGTCCGTACATTGTGCACGTGCCCTCCAGTTATAACTAAATGAGCAATATTGTCGCCGCGAAGTCAGTTCAACATCATAGAATCCACAAAAATATGAATCCATCAAAATTAAGGAAACCAAAAGGCCCAGTCAACACACAGCTTAAGACTATGTTCAGGAACACTAGTGGCCTAACTGCTTACAAATTCACAGAATGGATGACGATTATTACAAAGGAGGGTGCTGATTTATATGGGATCGTAGAAGCCGGCTCATCCACTGAAAATATCCAGTTCTACCAATTACCGAGATATCAAACTTATAAACTGCAGAGATCCAGGCAAGTTGCATCAGGAATCGCTGTCGCTGCTAAATCATCCCTCAAGGTAACCTTTTCAATTAAAAAGAAGATGGAAGAGAATGATAAATTGGAGGCTGTACAGTTAGATGTATGGAAAAGGATTCATGGCGGAATTGTATGGGGCTGCCAAGAGCCGAATGGCCAAATAGCCAACGGCAGAGGCGTTTAATAAAAAATATAAAAAAAACTTTATTTTACTTTAAGTTTATTCTATCTACATTTTTTAGACTATACCTTTCACCTACATATTATTTAATGTTTATTATTTCTCATACCTATTATTATCTAGTTTTTCTTAGTCCTGAACTTTGGGCCGAAACGTCGGTAATAATAAAAATAAATATACTTATTTATTTTTACTTTTCTTTTTACTGATCACCCCAACCATTCTTCTCTTTTATGCAATACTGAACATTGAATAGATTAATGAAGTAGAGAATCGATCAAATTTGTTCCCCTTACAAATTTATGCCGGTAATTGGTCAGAATACCCGTTTCTGACCCGCAATGGTCAGAATACCCGTTTCTGACCCGCAACACATTAAAAGCGGTTATTAAATTAAACAGTTATTTCAGGAACGACATCCGTAACTTTTAATTTATAAGAAGTTTGAATTAGGCAGATGGTTTAAAATCATTAACTTTCAAGTTTATAATTTTAAAATGTTTATATTACACTAAAATATATCAAGTGTCCGGCCATCACTGCAGATTTAAATTTGATATAATTTTTTTTATTGTTAATGATGTTCCTTCAATATTATTAAAAGTGTCAATATAATTGCACTTATAAGGGCTATATTGAACAATATTAAACCATATATACGGTTCTTGAGAAGCTGAGAAGCCGAGGATACCAAATTTCCTATTGTTTTTATGGTGTAGGGGGGATAATCCCCCCTCCATTTCCTCTTTTTTTTTTTAAATAACATGGCAATATGTTTGTATGTAGGTGGGTAATACTTTGTTTTACTTTAATTTTTTTTTTGAGGGGAGGAAGAGGAGTAAATCACCCTCTTAATTTTTTAGGAAATATTTTGGAGGAGCAAAGGTTGAATTAATGATAACATGCTCAATGCATAGGATTGAACGTCATACATGAAAGAATAAATTTTTTATCTTTTTTCTTGGTGTTTTCACCTTTAAGGCTATACGGGTTATCCGGGCGATGGGGTGAGGGCGGGGATTTAAGTCTCCTCGGCACATCAGGTTGCAACAGCGGTGATAGTCCGTTCGGTCACCCTCCCCACTACATTTTTGACCTGTACTATAATTATTACCTATTTTTGGCTAAAAAACTTCGAAATATTGGAGGAGCTACACCTCATAAAATATTGGGGGAGGCAGAAAGTCCCTTGATCTCTCTTCCCCCTGGTATCGGCGTCCATGTACTGATTAATAACCTATTTATATAAACATTAAAAACTAAAATTATAGATTTTAGAGTTTATTTTTATTAGAGGCATATTGGTATCGGCATAGAACCTTGTGTTCGCTCAGCCTTTATTATTATTATTTTATGTATATGTGTACATGCCTCTTCATAATGAAACTGTTATTTTAATTTTAAATGCATGAAAATTTAAATTGTTTTGTTATATTTATATATAAATATATATCATATATTGGAGAGGGGCACACTTGCACACATCCAAGTATATACCGTGGTTGTCGTTGGTTAGCTTTTATTATCTGTTGCAAGTGCCTTAAAAATTATAAATCAAAATTAATTGTTTAATTCAAATCAATTATTAATAATAAAAGCTTTGGATGTGTAGTTACTTTTTCAAGATCACTTTTTTTTCATCTTCCAGGAAGGAAGGTGGCGCCCCCCCCCCCTCCTCTCCTGGATGCGCTAGTGGTATAAAATATACTCATAAACACAGTAGTGGATTCAGGATTTAATTATAGTTTTTTTTTTTAATAACGGTAATTAATCGGGAACAAAAAGGAGGACTATATCCTTGAAGAAATATATGTATATATAAAATAAAAATAAAAATTTATTTAAAAAATATATAGTTTTAAAGTTAATGTTCAAATTACTTTTATAGATAAAAATGAAACACTTAATTATTAATTTTGATATATATATATATATATATATATATACACAATATTACTCAATTCTTCTTCGGTACATACTATTTATTTTCAAGTTAATTTATTATTAGCCATATTTACACCAATTTAAAAAAAATTTTTGTCACTTAATGACTACTCATCAAAATGACGACGTTTCGGCTCATCGAGCCATTTTATTTTATTTATAACTCGAAACAAATTATTTTATGTTTTCATTAAAAAATATATATATATATATTAAATCAATATTTAAGTATGAAGATTATATATAATGATCCTTTTTTATATTTAGCCTTAAGTAATTATAAATTTGATTTTTCTAAGATTTATATAATGGTTTAATATTTATTTTCTTTACTGTTAATAGTTATTTATTTTTTGAATTCATTGATCAAAGTTGGAATAATGATATCATGGAAATTAAATTAAAAATCAGAAGCTAATTTGACTGACTTCACCTCAGTGGTTCCTTCCACCATTTTAAATCTTGGAACTACTTCTCCATAAAAATCAGTTGTTACAATGCTTCATTTTCTCAGGTATAATATTATTTATCCACATAATTTATGTATAAAAATGAATTATGTATCATTATTTTTAATATAAATCCTTACTTTAGTTTTTATTAAGGTTTAAATTTATTTTTAAATAAAATTCATTCTGATATAATCTCAAACATTACAAAGTTAATTTTTTAAACTTTTGTTTAGTTAATTGGCAATTATTTTATTTATACATATTTAATTACTTTATGTTTAAGAAGAGCCGAAACGTCGTCATTTTGATGAGTAGTCATTAAGTGACAAAATTTTTTTTTAAATTGGTGTAAATATGGCTAATAATAAATTAACTTGAAAGTATATATATATATATATATATATATATATATATATATATATAGAGAGAGAGAGAGAGAGAGAGAGAGAGAGAAAGATAATACTTATGTATTCATTGTATGTTAGAATTAACATAATTATTTTAAAATGCTTTTCATATATTAAAAATTGAAGGGACCTTTCCAGGAAGATCGTTTTATTAAACTGAACGAAACTGAATTGAATTAAAAGAGAGAGGCAGATAAACATACATCTTTCTCGAATTATGT